CTTCAATTAAAAAAGATTAAATGGCAAAAAAAAAAAAAAAAAGGCAACCTACTGAATGGACAAAAATCTTTACAAGTCATGTATCTGATAAAGGGTTACTACACAAACTATATAAAGAATTCCTACAACTCAATAGCAAGAAAACAATCCAAAAATGTGCAGAGGATCTGAACATTTTTTCAAAGATGACAGAGATGGCTAACAAGTACATGAAGAGATGTTCAACATCACTTATCAGGAAAATGCAAATCAAAACCACAAGGAGAGGTCACCTCACACCTATCAGAATGACCATCAAAAAGACAATAACAAGTGTTGGCAAGGATGTAGAGAAAAGGGACAGAACCCCTCACACACTGTTGATGAGAGGGTGAATTGGTACAGCCACTATAAACAGTATGGAGTTTCCTTAAAATATTAAAAATTGAACTACTTTAGAATCTAACAATTCCACTTCTGTGTATTTATCAGAAGGAAAAGAAAATACTAATTCAAAAAGATCTATACTCCCCCACAGTCACTGCAGCCTTACAATAGCCAAGACATTGAAGCAACATAAGTGTTGGGTGAATTAATAAAAATGGGGGCACCTGGGCGGCTCAGTCGTTAAGCATCTGCCTTTGGCTCAGGTCATGATCCCAGGATCCTGGGACGGAGCCCCGTGTGGGCTCCCTGCTCTGCGGGGAGCCTGCTTCTCCCTCTCCCCCTCCCCCCACTTGTGCACGCTCTAATAAATAGAATAAAAATCTTAAAAGAAAATGTGGTGTATATATGTGTATTATACAATGGAATATTTAGCCATAAAAAAGAAGGAAATCTTGTTATTTGAGACAATATGAGTAGACCTTGAGGGCATTAGGTTAAGTGAAATAAGTCAGACAGAGAAAGGCAAATACCATAGCATCTCACTTACTGTGTGGAATCTAAAAAAAAACAAGAAAAACCCTAAACTCATAGAGAGAAAAGAGTGGTTGCCAGAGCTGGGACTGGGGGAAAGTTAGGTGGGGGGAATGTAATGTGAGAAGGTAGTCAAAAAAATACAAATTTCCAATTATAAAACAAATTCTGAGGATACAATGCACAGATGGTGACTATATTAATACTGTATTGCATATTTGAAAGGTAAGAGTGGGTCCTAAAATTTCTTATCACAAGGAAAAAATTTTCTAAGTATATGTGCTGATGGATGTTAACTAGGCTTATTGTGATGATTTCACAATATTTACAAATATTGAATCACTACATTATACACCTGAAACTAACATACGTCAATTATAGCTCAATTTAAAAAAAAAAATGGGCCAAGGGCCTGAATAGATATTTTTCTAAAGGTTTACAAATGGCCAACAGGTACATAAAAAAGTACTCAACATCACTAATCATCGGGTAAGTACAAATCAAAACCGCAATGAGATATCACCTCACACTGTCAGAATGGCGGTTATCAAAAACAAAAGAGATAAGAAGTATTGGCCGAAGTGTGGAGAAAAGGGAACCCTTGTGCACGCACTGCTGGTGGGACTGTAAGTTGGTGCAGCCACCATGGAAAACAGCATGGAGGTTCCTCAAAATATTAAAAATGGAACTACCACGTGATCCAGCAATCTCTCTCCTGGGCGGAAGGAAATGAAATCACATCTCAAAGAGATATTTGGGGGGGTGACTGGGTGGTTCCGTTAAGCATCTGCCTTTGGCTCAAATCATGATCCCAGGGTCCTGGGACTGAGTCCTACATCTCCCTCTGCCCGCAGCTCCCCCTGCTTGTGTTTTCTCTTGTGCGCTCTTCCCCCCTCCCCCCTCTCCTTCTCCCCTCCCCCCCTCTCTTGTACTGACAAATTAAAAAGAGAGATTTGCACCTCCATGTTCATTGCAGCATTATTTATAATAGTCAAGACATGGAGACAACCTAAGTGTCCACAAGTGGATGAATTGAAAAAGAAAATGTGACACACACACACAGCAATATTAATTGGCCACAATAAAGAAGGAAGTCCTGACATTTGCAATAATACAGATGGACCTTGAGGACATGAAAAGTGAAGTCAGAGAAGGACAAATAACAGATGATCTCACTCATATGTGGGATCTAAAATAACTGAATTCATAGAAAGCATAGAGTGGTGGTTGCCAGGAGTGAGGGGTAGAGGAATGATGGACAAGGGGTAACAACTTCCAGCTAGGAGATGAATAAAGTCTGGGGATCTAATGTCCAGCATGGTGACTATAGTCAATACTATATTGTATATTTGAAAGTTGCTAGGAGTTGATCTTAAATGTTCTCACTACAAAAAAAAAAAAACACAAAAAAACAAAAAAGACCCCAAAACACCCAAATACAAAAATACAGATGGTAACTATGTGAGGTGATAAACGTATTACCATATTTCTCAATATGCATGTGTATCAAATTATCATATTGTACCCTCAAACTCACACAACGTAATAGGTCAATCCTATCTCCGTAAAGCTGGAAAAAATAAGATACAAAATACTCTGGCAAGAAAAAGAACGTTCATTGAATGAGTGAAGGAGAGGGGACTCTCAAGAGCAGAGGCTAGTCCTGGTCCAAGCCAGCTGCAGGGTTGGCTTGGCGAAATGATGAATGGCCATTTGATCAATGCTACGAGGCAGAGGCTGGCCCCAAACAGGTGGAAGAAGGTTCCCAGGAGGATGGGCTCTGCTTTGCTGCCCTGAAGACTGGGCCAGATCCCAGAGCCTACATAAGCCTCTACCCCAGGGGACACTCAGGGATACACCTGGTCTTGGTGTAGGACAGCCTTCCAGTTCAGAGATGGCCCACTGGCAGAGGAAAAACCCTAAGTCCCATCTACCCTGGACTGAAAATACCAGAGTACAGGTTTTTGTTTGTTTTGTTTAATTTGACAGAGCGTGCACAAGCAGAGGGAGCGGGAGAAGCAGGCTCCCGTACTGAGCAGAGAGTTGGATGCGGGGCTCCATCCCAGGACCCCGGGATCATGACCTGTGCCGAAGGCAGACATTTGAACCGACTGAGCCACCCAGGCGCACCCTGGAATACAGGTATTAACATGATTTCATAAAGGAAGAAAAATTCAATGTAAGAGTCCACTAACTTGCTCAAGGCCCCGCAACTAAAAGCCACTGGAATAGAAATTCCTCTTGCCATTCTTAGTCTCCACACTATACCGCCTCCCTAACTTAATGGTCCTAAATCTTCATTTCCTTTTCCAGAAGACCAGAACCATTAATGGTTCCTAGCTCACAATACCTGGGGAAATTAAGCGGTAGAACAAACACGAGAGCCTGACACGCAGTAGGCATGCAGGAAATAACGGGTGTTATTGTTATGCAAATGTTGGTTCTCCTTCCCTAGTTCCAGATCCCCCTTCAAGCACTCAGCTGTCACCCGGTGAGGGCTTGCATTACAGAACCAACTGAGGGATGATGGAGGGAGGTGGGCGGGGGAGGGGCTAGGTGGGTGATGGGGATGCAGGAGGGCACTTGTTGGGAGGAGCACTGGGTGTTACACGTAAGTGACGAATCACTAAATTCTACACCTGAAACCGATTTTACCATATACGTTAACTAGAATTTAAATAAAAACTTAAAAAAAAAAAAAGGACTTTCAGTGTTATCACTGAATCCTAGAGTAAACCACTCAGACCAATGGGGGGTGGGGTGGGGGAGGAAGGGAAATCACATGTGACCTTGGAAAAGTTCCTCCACTCTGGGCCTGTTCGGTCAGTGGCAGGATGTTGCCCGTGATGTTTGCCGGTAAGAGTTAGGAGATTAAGGAACAGGAGGAAGTATGGAGGCAGCCCAGCACCTGCCTAGTGACAGGCGCACAGGTAACAGCAGAATCCCCTTACCCCAGTGGCCACGGCCAGAGGGGCAGGAATTCTACTTTGATTTCACTAGAATAAGGGAATTAGGAGGATTACTTTACACAGCTAAAGATCAAAGACTGTTGAAAGAACTTGGGCTGGTTAGCCCGAAGAACACAGGGTTTATACAAACCCAGCTAACTGGATGCCGGCACCTATTTAAAACGAGGCTTCCTGGGGATCAACAGAGGCCCAACCCACTTTCATCTGATAAGGTTTCTGGTATATTAAGGGAAAAAAATTGTTGAGGTTTGCGGTATATTATTGGGAAAGTTTTTTTTAAGGAAAATATTTAGTATTAAAAAAATACTCAATCGGGGTTATAAATATTATGGCATACCTTCAGTGTTAGATTTAACAAAGGTTACCACACAAAACTAAAGCTAATATAATTGCGCTAGTCCTAGGACAACTACTAGATTTATGTAGTTCTTGAAAATCTTAATTCGCAGTGCGCTGCATGCGGGCTTTGTCCACAGGTAACGGGACCCAAACTTTTTTCAATCCTGTCGGGGCACCCACCTGGAGAAAAGGCCAACTTTTTGAGCTTGAGGGCGCATCTGCATGGGATCGGTCTCTCGCTGCGTCTCTCCCTGTCTCCCCCTCACGCGACAGGCCCGTTGGAAGGGGGGCCGGACATTCCACCAGCCACGGAGTCAGAATGGAGCCTTGGAGCCGACGCTTGGAGAAAGCGGGTTTCTCCAGGGCAGGGCAGGGCAGGGCATCCCCCCTCCAAACCCCCCGGCACGTAGCCCCACCCTGAAATGTTGGGGCGGGGTGGGAAGTAGCTCCTTGCGTGGCACGTGGGCAGGACATTTATGTGGCTGGAGCAACCATTTTAAACTTTGGGGGATTCTGATGAAAATCCGGAGAAAACCTAGGACCGTCTCCCCAGAATTCTATCTCCCCCGCACCTACGCACGCACGACTTTCCCGCCAAGGAGCCGGGAGAAGTCCACACCCAGGGTGAAACCCCCGCCCGGCCCCTGGGAGCCCGGCTCCCCGCAGGCGCCGGCACCCCGCCGCTCGGCCAGAGCTGGGCGGGGCTCGGGGGCGGCGTGGCCCGGGGCCGGCCCCCCCTTCGACGCCCGGGGCGGCGTCGCCAGCCCCCCCACCCCCCGCCGCCACCGCCCCGGGGCCCCGAGACCGGGCCCGCGCTGCTGCAGAGCCGGGACTCGCGGACTGACGCGCCGCCGCCGCCGCGGCTCGGCTTGCCAAGCGCTGTTCCCGGGCCGCCGCTGGAGCCATGAAGATGCACTTCTGTATCCCGGTGTCCCAGCAGCGGCTGGACCCGCTGGGGGGCCGCTACGTGGTGCGCCGGGGGCCGGGGTCCGACTGGGCTGGGGGAAGGTCGGTGACCTGGCGGGGCGGGGGCTCACCTGCTCGCTCAGCTAATCGGGGACGGTCTTTCTCTGTGTTGCAGCTGTACTCCGTGTACCTGGACGGCTACCTCTTCTGCAGGGTGCGCTACAGCCGACTGCATCGTTGGAACGAACAGGTGAGCAGGTTCGAGGCACGTGAGTGCGCCCCAAGACACCGGACTTTTTGAGGACTCCAAGCTCCTAATCGGCAATTTGGTATTGCTTGGCATACCGCTCCTTGTATATAGGTTGCCGCTCCTAACCATCTACAGCTGGGAGATGAGGGGATAGGCTCAGGTCATTCTCCCAACCCCTTTCCAGCCCAGTGATCCCCCCCACCCCGCCCAGCAGCCCCACCTGGCAGGGTGCTCCATTTCAGTTTCAGCTGTCCCCCAGGACAATGCCCCCATTCAAAATGAGCATACTCAGTCTAGACCAAGGTGCCTTAGGAATCTTGTACGCAGGTGTTTAATCTCCTCTCCCCCAGAGTTTCTTAGACTGACTTTTTAAAAAAGGTGTGTTTATTTTTGTTTTCAAATTCGTGTATTTATAGGCTTCAAGTACTGGCAGGCTGGAAACCCAGGAAGCAGATGACTTATCAGGACAGGAGGCCATTTCCCACTGTAGTTTCTCACTCTGATGTCGTGGTAGCATTTTCTTTGGGAGGCAGCCTGATTTATTAACCTGCTCTAATGGGTTTTATTGTCCTAATAAGGAAGTGTTGCAGGTCTTCAAATTGGGTTGGAGAAGTAAAAGAAAGTTTGGAAATAAACTTCACCCTCCCTCTACCTCCACGCATAGTGTTTTCTTTTTAATTAAATTTTTTTTTTTAGATTATATACCCTGATTTTAAAGAGAATATACCTAAAATTAGAAAGAAAGGGGAGCCTGGTTGGCTCAGTGGGAAGAGCATGTGACTCTCGATCTCAGGGTTCTGAGTTTGAGCCCCAGGTTGGGTGCAGAGATTACTTAAATAAATAAAACTCAAAACAAAACCAAGAAACAGACAAACTTGCCCAGGCAACAGCTATTAACATTTTTAGGAGAATCCTTCCAGGCAATCTGGGTTTCTAGTGAGTAGATATACCTTCTGTTGAAGGACAGCTCTTAATTTCATTTTTTTTTTTCTACTATTGCAAACATTACAGTGAGCCTTCTTGCTCGTATCAGGGGGCATTGGAAAAGTCCATTTTCAAGATATGATTACGTTTCTTTGGAGTCAACAAAAAACAGGTGTAATGTGCTTGTTATCTTGTAATATGCTTGTAATTTGTGTGGTCCTCTCTGAATTGCTAGCACCTGCTGCAGTTGTCCCAGAAGGTTCTCGGGAATGATGGTGGGCAGACTCAGTGAGGAAGGCATGGATTCAGACTTGTGCAAGATGAGAAGCTACTTGTGACCAAAACCTGTCTGGGGATTTGAGAGGACTGCTGAGGTTGGCAGATGGAGATCTTAAGGGAAGAGAAAGTATAGGTGTATTAGGTATTTGGAGGAGGAAGTTGAAGTATCATCTCCCCCACTAATCTGTCTTCTCTAACGTGAGGTGGAATTGGGGAGGTTGCCATTCACAACATGAAAAGCAGGAGACAGCAGTGGGGAGCAGGGGGGTGTGGAATTGACTAACCACTTCCTGGCTGGTCACCTTACCTCTTCTCTGACCTTCAGTTTTTTCATCAAAAATAATAAATAGGTGGTTATAGGTGTCCACTTTCCAGGGTACTTGGGAAGAGTAGGGGCCAGTTTCCGCCAGAACCTCGGACGTGGTACATGCTCAGTAAACCTTTGCTGACTGATTTAAGATTTTTATTTATTTGTCAGAGAGAGAGCGTGCACGCACAAGCAGGGGGAGCTGCAGGCAGAGGGGAAGCATTTCTTTGGGAGGCAGCCTGATTTATTTTAAATTAATTATGCAATTATTTAAATTAATAATGCAAATAGCCACCTAAGCTCAGCCTCCAGCTGAGCAAGGAGCCCAATACACGGCTCCATCCCAGGACCCCAGGATCATGACCTGAGCCGAAGGCAGATACTTAACCAACTGAGCCAGCCAGGCGTTCCCCCCCCCGCCTTTTTTTAAGATTTATTTATTTGAGGGAGAAAGGTGCGCCCATGATGGGAGGGGCAGAGGGAGAGAATCTCAAGCAGACTCCCCACTGAACGTGGAGCCTAACATGGGGCTCAATCTCAGGACCCATGAGAACATGACCTGAGCCAAAACCAAGAGTCAATGATTAACTGACTGAGCCACCCAGACACCCCACTGCAGTGGACTCTTAAATATTGAATTGCCACAGCCTGGTGCCCAATGTGGGGTAGAGAGTAGATATTAATTAATACTTCATATTTGTCCCAAGTTTTTCAAAATCCAAAAGTGGAGATTTCTTTATCCAGTTTCCAACTACCTTACACCTTGCACTTAGCATTTTTCCTCTTTCAGTAGGAACAACTTCATTTTAAAGAAACTATTTAGAACTTAGGTGGCTATTTGCATTATTAATTTAAAACAACAACAAGCAGTTACTGTGCCTTAAGGTTGGTGCCAAGAGCTTTACATGTAATAGCATGTTTAGTTTTTACAGCAGTTCTATGAGCTAGGATTATAATTAGCCCCATTTAACAGATGAGAAAACTGAGGCACAGCTTGCTCATAATCAAACTGCTGGTAAGTATTGGAGCCAAGATTTGATCTCCAGAAACTGCTGTGACCCATTACATTTTGTGGTTTCTTACTAAAGTCAACAAAATAAATTGTATCAGTAAGACAATTGGGTCCTGAAATAACAAGGTTTTACTCTATTTTGGAATAACATGAAAATTCCCAATTTTAGGTGTTCAATGTGGTGAATTTTGGTAAATGTATACAATACTACCACCATAATCAAGATAAAGAAAAGTTTTGCACTCTAAAATTCCCTTGTCCCCTTTGCCCTTGATCCTCTCCCTCCACTTCTCACCCCAGGCAACCAAGATCTGCTTTCTGTCTGAGTTCCAAGCACAGGATTTAATTCAGACTGCCCAGCAAGCCTCTGTGGGGTCAGCAATACACTCATCATCATGACTCCCGTTTTGTATGTAGTCTGAGTAAGGTTGCCAGATTTAGCAAATAAAAACACACGCTCCGCAGTTAAATGTGAATTTCTGATCAACAACAAAGAAATTTTTAGATAAGTAGTTCCATGCAGTATTTGGGACATACTTAACCAGGCATCCTTTATTTTGTCTGGCAACCCTGAGTCTGAGAAAGTTTGGGGGATGTCTTTCAGGCACTTCTCAGCTAGATCTTATTCTTCCTCTTCCACTGAAGATCTGAAAATGGCTCAGAATTCTTAATCTGATTTAATACAAAGCACTATAAAAAGGGAAACAATAAAAGGCCCCATCTGTGTGTGCATTTGAGTATATTTCCTAGGAAGTTCTGCATCCTGATAGAATAAAAATGTCGTCTTATAGAATTAACTGCTTTATTTACTTAAGAAATATTTACTAAATTCCTATTAGATGGTATGCACTGTGGTATATTCTGTGCAGATGGCACTTCAGCACATGTGATTTTTTTTTTTAATTTTATTTGAGAGAGAGAGTGTGTGTGTGAGAGAGAGCACAAGCAGGGGGCAGCGGCAGAGGGAGAAGCAGGCTTCCTGCTGAGCAGGGAGCCCGATGGCGGGACTCGGTCCCAGGACCCTGAGATCATGACCTGAGCCGAAGGCAGACACTTAACGACTGAGCCACCCAGTCGCCTCAGCACATATGATTTTTGACTTTTAAGTATTGGATTTCTATTTTGTATATTGGATAACTTTGAGATTGAGGAAGGGCACCTGCCCAGGCGAGGTGGCCCCTGCTCTTTCTCTGCCCAGCTGCGTGGAGGCTAATGCATCTAAGACTGCCCCTGGGGAACTGAACCTGGCTGTTTTTCAAGATGTCCGTTGTGACTTGTGCCCTCTGAAGTCATCGCCTGCAGCCCTGTCCCATGGTGAGGTTCCTTCCAGGTCTGGCAGCTTGCCCCTCTGCTGTTGAGGGCTGTTCATCTCTCTGCCATGTGAACTGCCTGACCTGACTTCTCTCTGCGCCTTTGGCTAAATAAAACCAGTTTGATTTATGCTCCACTCTTGCCTACACCACCTTCCTCTAAGGGATTTAAAGAGACCTTCGAAGGAAACATTTAACTAGCTCATTTTGACCAAGTGTTAAAGATGAGGCCATCCTGTGTAAGCGACACTGGACTCTATGAAAAGGATGCCCGCCCCTTTGCAAACATTCTGCCAGTATCAGATATGGCAATGGGCGCAAGCCATAGAATCTTGCGAAGGATCCTTCCATGGTGATGGAAATGCTGTGTGAGCCCATATGTGCTGGTTTAGTCTTCGCCACTGCAGATGCTAACCCAGCCTAGCTCCTTCCCCTCTTTCCCTACCTCAGATTCTCTGTATTAGACTGGCCCATTCATTACCTCTGTCTACCTCACTTCCCTCTCCTGGGAAGACCCCTGCTTTCTGGCCCACTGGTCAGGGACCAGCCCTTTCTCAAGACCCATCTCAAGCCTCACCTCCTCTGGGAAGTCCTCCCTGATTGCATGAGATGCCTTTCTCTGATTCCTGTGTCACTTCGTGTTTAGACCTTGTCATGTTCCTCCTTTTGTGTATATATTTTCTTTCCCTTGGTCATTTAGTTACACAAGCCAAATATTTAAATGAAGGAATGAATGAAGGCTGTAGGCATAATATACCCAGCATGGAATCCTTCTTTAGTAGATGCTCAATAGAGATTTGGTGGAGGAGAAGGAAGGGAAATGAGGGAGAGAAGGGAAAAGTAATGAAAATCTGCCACTTATTAGCTTATGGGACCTTGGTTAAAGTCACTTCATCTCCCCGAGCTTCAGGTTACTGTGATTATCGTGTAACTTTGATGTGAAGGTGGCAGGATGACATGTTAATGGTGATGATGATCATCTACCTCACAGGGCTATTTTGAGGAACAAACAGAATAATATACAAGCTCCAGGCTAATGTTATTTGGTGCCAGATGCCACAGTCTGGATTGCTTTGAGCTGTGGCCCTTTATCTGGTAAATCTGGGGTTTTGATTCGAAGGGGCCTTGGAGAGGTGGAATGGATAAGTCAACATTAGAAAGGACACCATTTGTGTCTGTAATTCCACTTGTCCTGGGCCACCACTTTGGGATAAGTATGGGGGGCCGGGAGGGCATAAGGCGGGGAAGGAGATGATATTTTCCATTGGCCAGTGAAGTTCTCTTCATGTTAAAAGGCAGAACTCTATGATGGAGAAATCAGTGCAGGGGATTGTGCTGGGATTAAAAACATGTATTATCTAAACAGGGTCTTTCAAAAACCAACCAAAACCCCAAACAAAACATCTCATAATAAACAAAAGAGGTATATTTTCCTTTGGAGAACTTTGAACAATTTTTTGGAAGTCTTTGGGCTAAACTCTAATACCAGGTAATTCTTACTATGCTGTTGGTTTTAATAGCTAAACTGTGTTGCTGAGACCAGTAACAAAGGTTATATTTTGATGAGTTGAAGAACTTGGGGAGTCAATGATTGATGTTTGGCAGACCTAACTACTCAGTTTATTATATGTTTATCTTCCCGCTTAAACCAGTATTAGAGAGGGGAGGGGAAATATTCCTTGAGAAGTCAGCTCAGGTTGTAAAACCTGCTGGGAGAGTTTGGGCTGTGTTGGGTAATAGAACCTTAAGCCTTGGTGACTTTTCCCCCCAGCTCTTGGCCTTATGGTAGGGGCTTCCCCAAGATGCTCTCCTGCCCACGGAAAACCCAGATGGCTTAAGGATGCTGTGATTCAAACCAATTTGGGAGCATCTTCGACATTTATGAACGCATGCCTAGGAAGACAATTGCATTTTAAAGATCACTTAATCCATTAATCAAGAAATAGTCACATGCAAAGAAGACAATTTTCTGCTCCTAGTTCATGGAATTAACAGAGATGGGGTACATAAATCCCAGGTTGTTTGAGCAGCCTTGCCTGGTTTGATGCTAGAAACCTGATTTCTGGCTAGTTTCCTTTCTCCTATTTTATTTTATTTTATTTTATTTTATTTTATTTTATTTTATTTTAAACTGGGGTGACTTTGGGCAGTGTTTAGCATAACAGGAAAATTGCCTTGACTTAAAAAAAATTGTTGCTATAATATTTTATACTACCAGATTTAAAGGAGGAAAGCTTGCAAACTTTGATGGCTATGGGGGTCAGGCAGGTAATTGAAATGAGAGGCGTGGGCCAGGTGAGAGGCAATGGGGACTGGTGGAAATTGCTTAGGCCTCCTCTAAAGGGGATGATTATCTGAAGAATATGAACGCAGTGATTCCAGAACCTCTGATTTTTCAAGAAGCCAGAACATCAGGTTTGTTTGTTTGTTTTTTTTAATGAGCTTTATTTTTGTGGACCAGTTTTAGATTTACAGAATAATTGCAAAGATAGTACAGAGAGTTCCCATATATCCCCGCACCCAGTTTGCCCTGTTGTTTTCCATTAGTAGGGAACATTTACCATTAATGAACCAATATTAATACATTATGATGAACTATAGACCACAATTCAGTTATATTTCTTTAGTGTTAACCTAATGTCCAATTGCTGCCCCAGAATCCCATCTAGGACACCACATTACATTTAGTTGTCGGCTTACTCTCCTCTTGACTGTCAATTTCACAGACTTTTCTTGTTTTTAATGACCTTTTCGAGGTGCACGAGTCAGTTATTTTGTGAGATGTCCCTCTGTTAGAATCAGACGTTTTTCACATGGCCAGGCTGGGGTTATGGAAGACCACAGAGGTCCCTGTTGTTCTAATCATATCACAGGAAGAGCACCTACCATCAACATGACTTAACCACTGTTGATGCCTTGATCACCTGGCTAACGCTGTGTTTGTCAGGTTTCAGCACTGTGGAGTTACTCTTCTTCCTCCTTTTCCAAAGTGTACCCTTTGGAAGGCAGTCACTATGTGCAGTCCACACTTAAAGAGTGGAGATTAATGCTCCATCTCCTCATGGGATGAGTATCTACAGAAATTATTCAGGATTCTTCACGGATTTGTCTCTTCTGTCCTCTGTATTTTTTCAGTAATTGATAGCTGCATAGGCTCCTGGATAGTTATTTTATACTTTGGGTTATACTTCAATACTGCTTTATTCTGCTATTTTACCTGTTCCAGCTTCTGCCCATGGAAACTCCTTCAAGTTTGCTCCTGTAACTCTTGCACATGTGCCCGTCGTTGTTGTTTCGAGCACTTTCTTGTTTTCTGGTGCTACAAGATGCCCCAGATGCCTCTTCTATATCTCCTGCTTCAGTTCTAAAAAATCAACTATGTTCTTCATGGAGCCCTGGTTGCTTTAGTTGGGGAATGGTTAAGAGAAACCAAGATCTCAGACTAGGTATGTTCGTTGCTACTATCGTGTTGTTGCTTCGAGGCCCTCTCAGCTGACAGAGCAAGGAAATATGTGTATACACATATCTATAACTCTCTTTATATGTAACCATCTGTATCTATGTTAAGCTAAACATGAGTTCATACCAAGATCTCCAACTATCATCCACCACCACATGGATCATTCCAGCCTACTGCCCTTGCTTATCCGAAAACTCTCACTTCAGGAATGAAAAACCTGACTCCCATCAACTGCCATCCATTTACTTCATGTATCTCACCTACAGGCAGGCATTTACTAACCTTTCTAGATCTTAGACCAATGCTGTCCAATAGAACTTTCTGTGCTGATGGAAATGCTCTGTTTGCTTTGTCCAATTCAGTAGCAACTTGCCACGAATACTGTTGAGTATTTGAAATGTGGCTAGTACAACTGAGGAACTGAATTTTAAATTTTATTTCATTTTAATTGATTTAAGTAGTCACAGGTGGCTAGTGGACATCATGTTGAATGGCTCAGCTCTTGGCCATTGCAAAGATATTGACTTTCCCTTGAGTGAGATAGGAAGCCATGAAGGATTTTGAGCAGGGCAATGGATTGATCTAGCTTACCTTTTTAGAATGTTACCTTAGATGCTGTATTAAGAATAAACTGAAGGGGGTCAAGGGCAGAAGCAGAAAGATCTGTTGTAAAGCTGTTGCAGTAATGGGGCAAAGAGAGGACAGTGGTTTGGACCAGGGTGATGGCAGTGGGGGTGGAGAGAATTGGTAAATTTTTTGTTTTTTGTTTTTTTAATTTATTTATTTGAAAGAGAGAGAGGGAGAGACAGAGAATATGAGCAGGGGGAGGAGGCAGAGGGAGAAGGGGAAGCAGACCCCCCACTGAACAGGGACCCCGATGTGGGGCTCGATCCCAGGACCCTGGGATCATGACCTGAGCCGAAGGCAGATGCTTAACCGACTGAGCCACGCAGGCGTCCTGAGAACTGGTAAGATTCTTGATGTATTTTAAAGCTAGGGCCTATGCATTGTAAATATTCACCAGATACACACTGTTTGTGACAAAGTCCACTAGGAATTAAAATTTCTACCTCTTTGTTTCTCTTAAATCTGTTTTCATTTTCTTTAAGCCACTGACTATGCAATAGTAAGAGTTTTAGTCCTTCTGCAGAGGTACCATGTTAAAACCTGATTTCTGGCTAGTTTCCTTTCTCCTATTTTATTTTATTTTATTTTATTTAGATTTACTTATTTCAGAGAGGGTGGGGAAGGACAGAGAGAATGAGAGAGAATTTCCAGCAGGCTGAGCGTGGAACCTGACGTGGGGCTCCATGTCAGGGGCTCTGACCCTGAGATCATGACCTGAGTCAAGAGTCAGAGGCTTAACCAACTGAGCCACCCAGGCGCCCTTCCTTTCTCTTATTTTAAAGAGAATGATGCCGTGCCTTATCTTCAAGCTGCTACTGTAAGTGTAGGGCTAGCTACACTTCATTCTTCATTCTTCAACTGTAGGGCATGGCTTCCTTCGAGGAAGGAAGATGCACTTTTGATTATCAAAATTTAAAACATATTTTTGATACATCCACTATTTAGCTTGCATAAAAATAATTGCCACCTTGGTCTTGGATCAATATTTGGGTGAGTAGGAGGGTGGGAAGGGCCTCACTGGGTTGCTACTGGGATCACATGTCAGCCTTACAGGAATTTTATAAGCCAGCACTGTCCAATAGAAATATAATGTGAGCCACTTATATAAGTTAAATTTTTCTGGTAGCCCGACTAAAAAGCATAAAAAGAAACAGGTAAAATTAATTTTAATATACTTTATTTAATCTAGTATACCTAAAATATTACCATTTCAACATATAATCAATATAAGGAGTTATTAGTGAAATATTTTACTTTTTTTTTTCTTTGTACTAAGTTTGGGAGTCTGGAGTGTATTTTATACTGATGGCATATCTCAAGTCAGACTAACCATATTCCCAGGGCCCATTAGTACTGGCCAGGGGATACCATATCAGATCGCATGCTGTAAGCATCTGTTATGTTCAGACTTGGTGGAGGTGGGGTGGGGAATTAAATTCCTAACTATGCTCATCGTTATCACAGATACTATTGGAGAATGAGTTAAAGAAACACTGTATGGCATGAGTGGTGGGCAGTCTTACAAAAACAAATGAAAAATTAAAAGGTATCCCAAATCTACCAAACTCAGACTGGAGAGGTCAGTCTGTAGTATGTCTAATAGTATCTTCAGAAACCTATCCTGAAATAAACTCCTTCCTAAGAAAATCAAATCATCCCCTTTTCCTCCTTTTGGCCACCAGGAAGGGTTAATTTTAAATTAAGTACTAGAATGAGACTTGCCCTAAGAGGAGGCTTTGGTGTCTCATCAACCTTGAATTGGAGGTTCTTTGCCTTAACTGTGTGTTTTCTGGATCTTTCAGCTGAGGCGGGTCTTTGGAAATTGCCTGCCACCTTTTCCACCAAAGTATTATCTTGCAATGACCACATCCATGGCTGATGAGAGGAGGGACCAGTTGGAACAATATTTGCAGAATGGTATGTATTTGGACTTTATTTTTACAGATTTATTGAGATACAGATCATATACTGTAAAATTCACACATTTAAAATGTGCAGTTCAGGGCACCTGAGTGGCTCAGTCAGTTAAGCATCTGCCTTCGACTCAGGTCATGATCCCAGGGTCCTGGGATCGAGCCCCATGTCCAGCTCCCTGCTCAGCGGGGACCCTTCTTCTGCCCCGCCCCCCATTCTCTCTCTCTCAGATAAATAAATAAAATCTTTTTTAAAAAGTTGTACAATTGAATGGTCTTTAGTATATTTACAGAATTGTGCAACCATCCACCATAATCTGAGAACATTTTTGTCACCCCAAAAAGAAACCTTATACCTATTATCAATCACTCCTTATTCCTCACCCCCACATGCCTCTATCACCCCCTATACTAATTTCTGTCTTAATAGATTTGCTAGTTCTGAACATTTTATATAAATGGAAACATACAAAATATGGCCTTTCTATTTGGGGTTTTTTGTTTGTTTGTTTTTTAAAGATTTTATTTATTCATTTGAGAGAGAATGAGATAGAGAGAGCATGAGAGGGGGGAGGGTCAGAAGGAGAAGCAGACTCCCCGCTGAGCAGGGAGCCCGATGCGGGACTTGATCCCGGGACTCCAGGATCATGACCTGAGCCGAAGGCAGTCACTTAACCAACTGAGCCACCCAGGTGCCCTGTATTTGGTTTTAAAAATACTCTGTTTTCACATTTGCCTTTGGGTGCTGTATGTTGGCTTTGATTGTAAAAGTCAAAGACCTATTACCTGGATTGAGACCAAAATGGAGGGCTGAGATGAACTGTTTTCCTGAAAGCTCTCAGGAAATATCAGAGTTGCATTTCCATCTCTGTCCAACAACCAGGGAGCCTCAGAGGTCTGCTCTGACCCTAATGAGGCTTGCAGTACCCTGGTCCTTGGCCCTTGCCTGCATCCTGCAAATGCTGTGCACCGCAAGGGGGTTTCTCAGAAAGGGGGTTGGGGAGAAGTAGCAAAATTGGCATTCAAGTATTGAAAAGGGGAAATAGTATATACACAAAATATTTGAAAAGTAGATCCTGTCCGAAGAGTATAAAATGAAAGGTACATTCCCTTCCAGCCCAGCCCCCACCCCCTTAGGCCTCTAGAAGTAAACACTATGACTTAGGTATTCCTTGGAAGCAATTTTTGTGTCTGCTGGTGTGTATGCACATCCCTGTTTGTTAAACACAGGTTGGAATGTACTCTATATACTTTTCGGTACCTGATTCTTAAAAACTTTATTCTGAAAGAATTTCTGACTTACAAAAAGGTGCAGAAATAATGCAAAGAATTTCTGTATAGTCTTCACCCAGATTTCCCAAATGCTAACATTTTATATTTGCTTTATCATCCTCTCAATTTCAGGGTATGCGTGTGTGTATTATATATAATGTTTTGAGAGGCCTTTGTTACATACACAAGCCACTTTCCCCTTAAGTACTTCTGTGTGTATTCCCTAAGATCAAGGACATTCTCTTCTACAACCACACTATAGTTATCAAAATCAGGCAATTAACACTGATAAAATAATGTTATCTAATCTAGAGACCTTTTTCAAACTACACCAACTATCCCACCAATACCCTTCATAGCACAAGAAAAAAATGTGTTTTTCTTCTGTAAGTTGATTTTTCCCTCTTAAAAATCTATATTTTATAGACCATTCTAGATCAGCAATTACAGACTTACTTCATTACTCTCATGGTGGCACTTGTTTCCTTAAAAAAGATAGTAAATAAAAATTCTAGAAGTCCTCTATTTCCCATTTGTCTTTTGTAATGGAGAATATACCTCTTTTAGACCTGTTAAATAAGCCTTTTCAAACTCAAAATGTAATATCTGTTGAATTTTTCTTCTCTCTTGGTTTGATTTCTCATGTCTTAGGGAAATACTCCTTTAACTGCTGGCCTCTCCACAAATGATCACAGTGCCTAAGGGGTTGCTTTTCCAGGCCTGGCCTTTGTGCACATCATGGGGATATCTCCTGCATCCTCCTCTGGCAAGGCAGAGCAAGGAGACAGTGTGACTTAAGACATGGGCTCTAGAGTCAGACCCAGAGTCAAATCCTAGGTTTGCACTTCACTGGCTGTATGACCTTGGGCAAAACATTTACCTTCTCTGAGCTTCAGTGTCTATTTGTAAAATAGAGATAATATTTATCCCAGGGTTTGTTGTGAAGATTAAATGAAGTAAAATAGACAAAGTGCTTAGCATTGTACCTGGTTCTTAACAGTTGCACAGTAAATACTAATTGATTGAACACTTTTTTCAACAGCTTTCCCCATCTCCAAGAATCCAAGCTAACAATTATAATGTTAATTTGCATATCCACCACATAGATTCCAGAAAATAAGACAAGGGCTCCCCACCCCCCAAAATCATCTCCCTTAAAAAAGAGGGAATACCTTTTATAAAAAGTTTCTCATAATAGGGAGACTTTTTTCATTACTTTCTTTTGAAAAATGTTGCATTGTTGGGAAAGATACAACTTGAAATGACTTCAGTCAGTGCTAGTTTTGAATGCTGGTAGAAGTTACAGTGAGGCAGTCAACTGAATTGGCAACAAAAAAAGAAGGGAAGGGAAGGGAAGAAGGAAAAAGCGAGGTAAGGAAGGAGGGAGGGAGGGAAGGAAGGAAAGAGAAACAGAAAAAAGAAAGAGAAAGGAGAGAAAGAGAGAAAGAAGGAAGGAAGGAAAAGGCTTGGTGGGGATGGGAGTGAAGGGAAAGAGAAAGACATTTGCTACAGATTTAGTAAGTACGTAAGTTTGGCTAGAGTGCGGGGTCCAGAAGAGGCGTTACAGGCAGGAGGGTAAGAAATGAGAAAGCAGGCTGGAGAGCACCTCCTACAGGAGTTTAGACTTCTCAGGGGAAAGCTTCTGCCCTTCTGCTCTGGCCACAGCACCTGAATATTGGTATCTGAGCTTTAAAAAATCAAGAGGGAAATACTCTTATAGGTATAGAAGAATAGAAAACTTTAAATCTCTCTGACAGCCTTACAATCACTTCTCTGGGGATAACCTCTTGAGAGCTCCTATTAAGAGAGGTACTCTCAATCAGGGTTTCTTGGTTGATTTCAGATTTTCAAATTAAGAAATGTCTTGCCAAAGTGGGAGTCCAGGTCCAAGTTTTAAGATCTTTTGCTTTTTCACATTAACTTCATCATCATCCTGGTAGGGGAGCAAGCTGGATATTGAGCGATATGGGGATGTGTGAATAAAGTGAGACTCCTGGGACTGATATGATAGGTTCACGTTGCTGTCAAGGCTGCCTGGAGGAGGCAAGCTTTGTGGATTTTCATGTATCTGCTAGGTCATATCTCCATTGCCCAAGGAGGCAGGGGTGCACTGGCAAGGCCTTCAGGGCTCCCTGGAGGACAGAGCAATTTAACAGAGAAGTCAACCCAGCCCCATGCTAACCTGGCTCACCATCCATATTTTTCAGTAACCATGGACCCAGACATGCTGAGAAGTGATGTCTTCATTGACTTTCTAAAACTTGTACAGCTGGTAAGCATGCTCTTCTTTACTAAGATCATTATTTTGCTGCTGAACATGTCTCTTAGTTACCATGTGTGTGTTTCTGGCCATCGACCCCACATTGGGTAAAATATATTCATTTGGAGTAATTGGAGGATGGTTCCTATTTCAGTTGTTTTTTGTTTGTTTGTTTTGGGTTTTTTTGGAGGTTTAGATTCTAGATGGAAAAGAAGCATGTCACTTGACCTTTGAACTTAAGTAAGCAGATACCTTTTAAATCCTGTAGCCTAAGCATTGTACATCTCAAAACTGGCCATGAGAAAGAGAACCTTTCATCATTAAGGGCCTTCACAACAATTTGGGAATCTTCCTTCTGTAGATGGGATCCAGTGTGCCACAGTGAAGACATCAAGACAGCAGGAAGAGCTGGGCCAACTCTTACTTGTATCTTCTCTGCTCCTAACTCTGTTGTAAATGGATCACAGAGAAAATTCAGTCTGAACAGAATGACATAGAGCAACTCCCTTTCCTTTGTTGGTCTACAGAACCACTGGCCACTTGCCTGTAGAGGTTGGAAGTTTGCCACGTAGGCTTGGTTAGCACACCACTCATTCTCGTTGTACATGGGGGAACATTTTTATGCCTACAAGTATGTTCTTGACTGAATGGAAAGCTTTGCGAAGATTGAAGTCATAAGAGTAACGTGATATTATTGAACTGGATCCCTAGCTAGGGGAGGAATGATACTTTGATGGGATTTGTAAAAAATGGAAGCAAATTTCATTTATTCCGTGGGTCAACCATGTTGGTATAGTAACTGGTCCATTCAACCTGAGAAATGACCCTCAAGTCTCCCACTGTGTCACCGTTCATATTTTCACATATACTTGATGGCTCAAAAAATACATACTTTCTTTGAAAAGATTGTTGTCATAAAATTCAAACAGCACAAAAGGGCATATGATCCCACCACCGACCTCCAGCACGCCTCTTCAGAGACAGCTGTTTCCATTTAATGTGTGTTCTTTCTACATGTTTCTGTGCATTTGCATGCATTTGTATGTATGCATATCCTTTCTGTTTTACAAATAAACACATACTCCATGCACTTACTGAAACTTGTTTTTTAAAATTCTGCATCTTGCCAGTCCTTCTACATCAGTCCCCAGAGGTACATTTGGCCTCAGTTCTATCATCTTTTTTGTGTGCATTATGACTTTTGCTTTCAGTGCTTTTTAAAAACCATTCATGGGGCATCAGTGTTTTGGAGCTTTGTTTGAGTGTCTTTTCTTCTGATAATCTGAAAGATTTTTGCCTGGTTTAATTCTGTTAGTGTTTGACCTTACCTTGCTTACTCTGATGAGATTTTCACTTTTGTAATGGCTTTATTTTTCTCTTCCGTGTCTTCCGTCAACTTTGTCAGCTTACTTTTCTACCTTTTTATTATCATACCTCTTTTTTGAGGCCTTCAGCTATTCTTTGAGTGGCATCTCCTTAGTGGCATGGTGTGGGGAATATATTTTTTACCCCTAGTTGGTCACGATTCCTCCCCCACTTCCACGCAGGAGTTTTACTGGGGGCGCTTACTCTTTCTTCTCAGGCAATCACTCAGCTTTGGAAAGGGCTGTGCTTTGTGAGCAGCTGATACGGAGTGTTGAGGAGGAGCTGGGGTTGAGTCATTTGAATCTGTCCATTGTACTCCTGGATCTTACCTCTTGTTTCTGAGCACTTCCTCTGACATTCTGCCTGGAGGCCCGAGCAGTGTGTCCAGCCGAGAATCCATAGCCACGGGTGCAGACAGCATGATCTAGCATTTTAAACCCTCTTACCGACTAAGTAGTCTCAGGACTGGCTTAGTGGTTTAGAGTGCAAGTGAGATGACCCAGGTTTAAATTTTGGCGGCCTGACTTCTAATTTGTACGGTTTGGGGCAATTTACTTAGCCTCTTTGTATCTCAGTTTCCCCAGCTGTAGAATAGGGAGAATCGCTCCTGCCTCACAGGGTTGTTTTGAGGATTAAGTAAGCCTTCAATAGCTCTTAAAGCACTTAAATATCATCTGGCAAACTTAACACTTAGGAAGTACTTGCTACCATTAAGACCAGTCCTTTCTTCTCTTCCCAACCATGTTAAGAGATTGCTTTCTGCAAAGATGATGTGTCTGCACATTTTTTTGTGTGTGAGCTCCCCTGCCACAGACAAAAATGGGTACATTTAAAATGGGTCGGCAGTTGTCCACCCAGATATACTAGTCCCTGGGGATTAACTGCTTGAAGACGGCTTCCTTGTAACTTGAGTTCCCTGGCACCTCGATACCTCTGCTTCTCTCCTCCCTGACCAGGTCCGATTTTCACTGCCCTTGGAGGCCCCCTCTGAAAACCCAGTAGTGGTTCAGGCTCGGGACAATTTTCAGCTTCCTCAAGGATGATTTTCCTTCCAGTTGTTTTCTGTCTGTCTCCAAAAGGAGAGCAGGACAGAGGTACCTTTGCTTCCAAAGATGTTTATAAAGGAGGTTGATGATTTTGAAAAAGGAGTTTAAGTCAGGAAGGTGGTCCTGTGCTCACTGCATCCCTGTCCTGCTTTATGCTGTCCTTTATCATTCATACATTGAACAAATACGTAGTGAATGCCTGCCGAGAGCCAACACTGCTCTAGAGGTGGGGGGAGACACCAGGAAATAGCAATCAGTCCAGCTCATGGAGTTTACTGGCTTGTTGGGGAGATAGAAAAGTCACTGGGGGGCGCCTGGGTGGCTCAGTTGGTTAAGCGACTGCCTTCGGCTCAGGTCATGATCCTGGAGTCCCGGGATCGAGTCCCGCATCGGGCTCCCTGCTCGGCGGGGAGCCTGCTTCTCCCTCTGACCCTCCCCCCTCTCATGTGCTCTCTGTCTCTCATTCTCTCTCTCTCAAATAAATAAATAAAATCTTTAAAAAAAAAAAAAAAAGAAAAGTCACTGGGCATGGCACTAAATGTAATGAATACTGTGAGACGGGGCCGCGCACCGTGATGCAGGAGTGCGCGCCGGGAGACAGGGCCATGACCCAGAAGAAGGTTAGGGCTGTGTCGAGATTTCTGTCCTCTCAGCCATGGTGCAGCATATGTGGGCCCTGCCACTCCAGTGGCTTCGGGCCCACTTCCCCCAGTGTGAAGTACAAATACCGTTCTCTACGTGTGACCCATGAGAAGAGGGCCAGGAGACACTGCCATAGGATGAGTGTGTGTCTGGGGGACCTTCTAAAGGAAGTGACAACTGAGCTCGTATTGGAAGATTTCTGGGGTGGGCAGGGAGATCAGATCATACTCTAGCTTTTTCTTCCCGTTAGGGACAAAACAACAAACCACACAGTATCTGGCGTTCTGGAAGCCTCAGCACTGATACTAGTAAAAGGGAAGAAATAGCCACTTAGCACTGAGGGTGAGTCTACTCCAACTTCCAGGAGACCCTTCCCTGGCCACCTTGCAGGGCCAAAGCGATTTATTGGCGGTAAATAGATGCAGTCAATGCAGGAGAGCGTTGGCCCACCGAGCTTGCAGCCAGATTGCTAGTGCAGGGCGCACGGGAGCTGGGAGAACTGGAATGAGCGGTGGTGATATGTGGATTTGCCAGACTGTGAAAGGAGCCCCAGGAACAGGGATTGGGCGGGCAGTTTGCCCAGCTCAGTATTCTACAGACCTGCATATTTTCACCGCTTCTGGTAAGTGCTTGGTCCGCACTTGCCAAGTGATTATTGCTGTGTAATCCCATGCTCCCAGGCCTGGCTCTCCAAGCTCAGCAGTACAAGAGCATCTTCTCTCTGGGCAAGGACACAGGACGTGAGAAACCTGAATGCATGAAAGCTTTCTGGCCCCCTCCTGAGGAAAGCCTTTATCAAGGATGATCATATGCAAGTTGCAAAACCAAGAAGCGTTTCCCTCTACAGGGTGATTTAATCTGGGCGAGGCCTGGTTCTTTATGTGCACTCTCTCCTTTATCCCCCACAACTTGCTGAAGGAGGTGCCATTAGGATCTCTTTTTCAGGTGAAGTAACTTGTCCAAGGGCATATATCTCATACATGAAAGAGCTGGGATCTGAACCTAAGAAGCCTGGATCCAGAGCCCCTGTTCCATCGATGTTATGATGTATTTCTAGAGTGGTGGTAGCCCACCCAGCCCTGCTCCTAACCACGTCCCTCTTGTTTTGTGTGTCTAGACTCCCTTCACTTACTACATTCTATGTTTTTGCCCTGTGATCACCTTGGAGATAGATGGGTTTTTGAAAAGGCAAAATCAAAGTCTTTAAAGACTTTTTTAATGTTCTTGATTCTTAAACTGCAGTATTCTGTGGCGTTATGTGAACAACATATTTGAGAAAAAGAAGACTGAGAAGGTATCTGGAGTGGCTTTTGTGCACCTGGGAAGTTAGGGGCAACCTACTGACCTGGGAAGTTTAGTTCACTCTGGCTTTGTTTGGGGGATCTGAGAAGTGACTATTTTCCTCCCTTTCTCTTAAGAATGTTTATCACATACTTGTGTGATGAAACCTCCATTAAAATCCCCACACTGTGGGGTGCAAAGAGCTTTGGAGTTGGTGAACATGCCAAGATGCCGGCAGGGTGGTGTGCCCAGAGAGGGTATGGAAGCTCTGTGCCCCTTTCCACATGCCTTGCCCTAATGCATCTTTTCCATTTGGCTGTTTCTGGGTTGTGTCCATAATAAGTGGATTATGGTAGGTAAAAAGAGCTTTCCTGAGTTCCATGAGCCATTCTAGGAAATTACCAATCTTGAGGAGGGTGTCATGGGAACCCCCGATTTCTAGCTGGTTGTTCAGAAGTGTGGGAGGCCTGGACTTGTGATTGGCATCTGAAATTGGGGAGGGGCCATCTTGTGGGACTGAATCCTTAACCTGTGGGGTCTGTGCTCACTCCAGATAGATAGTATCAGAAGTGGTGTGAGTGGAGAAAAGCCGTGTTTTTCCTTATAGCATCCTGTGAGCAATGTTAAGGCCAGTGCTGGTGGTATAGTGGGGAGCATGGCTGCCTTCCATGAGCAAGGGAAGGACACTGGAGGGTTTTAAGCAAGGGGAGGACATTTTTAGGTTTGCATTTTAAAAATATTTCTTTGGCTGCTATGTGGAGAGTGCTCTGTAGTGGGGTAAGAATGGAAACCAGGAGGCCATTGCAGGAGTCTAGGGAGAGGAGATGTCAGTTGGGTCTAAGGTGCTGGTGGTGGAGACAAAGAGTGGATGGATTCAAGAGATGATAGTGTAAGATGTAAAATATGCACAACTCAGAACTTGATTGGATATGCATGTTGAAAATATCTTCCTGAATCTTCTCTTGAATCCTTTATTTCTTATCTGTTGGCGCTCATTCTAATCCAAGGTACATAACTTCCTCCTCATTCCTCATGCTAGCAATAACAAAACAATCTAACCACCAGTTGGGTGTTTGCAGTGAGTACCATTTCAAGTTCCACACGTTGCATCCTTGAGTCTTGTCCACAGCCCTATGAGGTGGGCACTATTACCATCCTTATTTTAGAGCTGAAGGAATGAGGAATACAGGGGACAAGTAACCTCTCCAGGTTTGCAGAAGGTCCCATGTGGTGAGTGCGGGAGCTGGCCTTGGAACCCTTTTCCTCACATGGTTCAGCCCAGTCCCTTGGTACCTCCAAGGGGATTGTTGCAGCTAACCTCTGAGTTCTACCCCCTGCCCCCCACCCCACCTTCTCTTCCCACCCATTTTTGCCACACTACCAGACAGATCTTTCTGTAACGCTGTTTCCATCCTTCTGCTTCCTTTTGCCTTTTTAATGAAATCCTCAAGTGTCTGATTTCAGGGCCCTCTATAATCTGACCCACTCTGCCAATCCAACCTGCTTTCTCACTTTTGCAGAAGAATTTGATAAAGGTATGTATTTATATCATTTTTGCTGTTCATGTAATTTAGCTATCTTACCAGTCTACAATTTAGTTTGAGTTGAGAGTTGCACTGAAATAATATAAATGAATGCTAGGCTTTTCTTTAAAATCTGACCAAAAAATAATGGCATTCCTTTCATTCATTTTGAGTGTTTTTCCCCTGAGGTAAGAGATCTCTGTGATGATAGGCCCTGAAACTTGAAGAACCAACATCTAGGCAAAGATGTACCTAGAAAGGGACTATTTACAACAATTATTTTGGGGGAACCCATAGAAACTTAGTAATTGTACGTACATGGTGGGGAGGGGGTAGTTAAAATTTAAAGTCAAATCTTGCCCTTTGATAATAAAATTAGGAAAAATAAGCCTGTCAGTAATGTGATCGGCCTTTTGAGGTACCTGGATAATGCAATTGAGTTGTTGGATTCCCTCAGTTCCCTATGAAACCTGATCTGTTGTATCTGTGAATGTGGTGGGGGTGAGGAAAGGGGAGGTGTTGCCTGTTGAGGGGAAAGGTCCCAGTTGGTCAGCTCACCTGAGTCCAATTCTGTGATCTCCACACCATCTTAGGATTGGCCCTTTGGTTCTTCTCTTGCCCAGCCCGATACCAGGAAGGCAGTAACCTGGGCTGGGTGCACATTGTCTAGGCACCCCTGTATTACTAATATTCTAGCTTATATGGTAGGCTTAGAACACAGACAGTGATTTGAGTGACTCTTTTCTCAGTTTTCTCCAGGATGTATTACATACGCACTGGCATTCTAAATGCCTAGGAGAGAAGCGAACTCATTGCGTACAGTAGATGTTTTTGGTGCATTAGGGTTTAATCCTATCGTAGAACCTGGGAACAGAAAGGCTGCAACCTGAATCAGCCTCCCAGAGATGAGGCAGCCCTGTGGATTGACAGCATCCCACTTGGGAGGTGCTAAAAACAGCCTTCCCCCAGACACAGCTGCCCTGTGAGACTCAGCTGGGTGGCCACTGGCCATGCCTCCTCCGGGGGTCCCTCTCTCTGTGGTCACTGAGCACCAATTGCAGCTTTACGCTTTCCCAAACTCTGAAGGCCTTCCCAGTGTCTCTAGCATGTCCTTCACATTTTAGAACATTCCATCCAAGAACTTCACAGGCCCCCAGGTTTGCAGTCTCCTCTGGCACACACACATCCCCTTGCAGAATGCTTAAGTGCAAGCAAAGCAGGACTGAGCTGGGGGTGCTGGTCCTCAGCTGGACACTTACTCACCAGAGAGTGACGTGCTTCCTCATTCAGGCCTCATGGTTTGCCCACTTCAGATTTTTGCTATAGCAGAATCATAAATTATTTCAGATTATGGACTTTTAGGGATGCCTGGAAATACTCAAAATGAGAATTAAAATCTGAGATGCCCCAGGGTCACATGGATAGGTTTGGGTTTTTTTCCCCTAAAATGGATGCCTTATTGTTTATTTGGAAATTATTCAAGCTGCATGTCATTGCTTTGTCTTGGCCTCTCCACACGCCTCCTCATCCCACCCTGCCCCTCAAGACAACATCCCCCAAATTTCTGCAGTCAGCTCTGTGTGTTTCTGGATACTGTATGCCCCAAGGGTCCAGGTAGAGGACTGACTGTTCCTGCTCCGGGTGCCCCATTGAAGGGCACTGTGGGGCTCACTGGACTTTTCTTTTGCTTGCAGGACACATTTAACATCACTACCAAGACAGCCTCTCTGGATATATTTCTGCCAGATGGAAGGAATATTCCAGTCGAAATTCTAACATCAGATACTGCTGAAAGAGTCCTAGAGGTAAACTTTGTCTAAACTCAAGAACCAAATTTACGAATCATTCTGTTTGAAGGCAGGGACTAGGATAAGGTTACCTTCCAGAAGCTTCCTCCCTATCATTTTACTCTGGATGACATATCTGTTGAGATGCTGGGATTTTCTGGAAGATGGACCAAGGAATCTGAGCTACAGCCAATCCTCCAGAGCGTCTTTGGTTTTACTCTCCTTGTGGACATCAACTTCCCAGACATCTTTTAGGCCCTTCCTAAGGCTGCTGTCAGTCACCTGGGATTCAGCCAAGGATGTACCCTGGAAATACGCCAAGTGCTTTATTTTGGGATGCCTCATAGTTGGGAGCAGGAAAGGGAGTGGAGTCCAGATGAGTCTGAAATAGGCCATACCCAGGTAGGCTGGTGACAGGTTCTGTCAGAGTGACAAAGGAACTCTTAAAGGCTAAGAGTTGTCCCTCCTCCCCCACCCGGAAAACCCCTGAAGCCAACACCCTAGCAGGTCTAACTCTGGGTCCAGAGGGCCAGACCTGAATTCTAGTTGGTTTTGTGAAGAGTCTGAGGACAAGACCCAGAGACTATCCTCCCTGTCTTTAGATGGCGGCCGTTACCGGCTCTGTCCCCAGGGCCTTTTCTCCCTCCCCTGGCATCAAGGGGACACCAGCTTCTCACACCCAGACACTGTTCCCAGGTCCTTTTCCTTTGGAGGGTTTTAGTTCTAATCCTCCAGAGAAGTATGCGAGGGAAAATATAAAGTTATAAACAGGTGGATGTCAGAAAGTTTCTAGGACTTTCCCAAGGACAGGACATTCTTGTGCTGGGGACATGGTACCTGACACCTTCTGGGCAGGAAACAAGCCCTCCCTGTTGCATTCCCAGCCCTCGAGCCCACCTTCACCTGAAACCGTGGGGTGGGTGGACAGCCTCTCCCTACATCATGGCTCCTCATTCTAGCTTGGAGATTCAAGCCGGTCCATGCCCTCCTGGTCTCCAAAGAGCAGTTTTGTCCCCAGACTAGGAAATGTCCCTTCTCTAGGGTCTTGGCTCTGCCCAAGAGTGATCATTTTCGACCTTCCTTCCTATGAAAGTCACTGCACACAACCTTTTCTTGGCTTCTGTACAGCTGTCCTGGTTGAACGGGATCAGCAGCCACCTCATTGCCAAGGCTATCCATGGAGAAGCTACTCTAGGGCCCCCCTCCTTCACTACCCCCAACCCCCCAAATCCTACTGACCTTGGGTCCCAAGTCTCTCTCCTAATAATTCCCGTCTTCTCATTTTCTCCTCTCCAACCTCACACCCTTAGTTTGAATCCTCATTTCTCAGCTAGATTTCTATAGCATCTCCAAAACCAATCCCTGCTTCCAGCATTGCCAGTCTTCAATACTGACCTCCAGAATGACCTTTCTAAAAAGACACTTAATGCCTGAGGGGATTTATACAAAAAAAACCCCCAAACCTCTCAAATATAAAAGCACTGTTCCCTAAATTGCCCTCGTGGGACCTACACAGTGAGAGACTGACACATCAGTGAGGGGAGGAGGACAGTAATAGGAGGGCGGAGGCCGCAAACACAGAGACCTCCAGGGCCAGGCCCGTAACGCAGGGGTGCAGATGAGGGACGTGAGATAATTTGGGAATGGTGGGGCCCGTGGAGAACTGGAGAGCCCCTGCCCTGCCCGACAGCATCATTATTGACCTGTTTTCCACATACTGGGCTCACTGGCCTGATTAGACATACCTGCAGCTGAAGTTGGCTGCCCGGTGGGCGTCTGGGGTCTCCTCCCTGCTGGGGTTAGGGCAAGAGCTGAATAGTTGTGTGAGTTTGGGTAAGTTGCTTAACCTCTCAAGACAGTGTCTAAGTAGTTACAGAAATAGCTCATGTTCCATCAACAGTGGTGGTTATGGTTATTTCTCATTATAGGTATTATTATTGATGTCGGAGAGAGTGTTGAGCCAGTATTGAGTAGAGTAGTAAGTCTAGGGTTCCACAATACCATCATCTCTTTGGCCCGGGTCCCCTTGTAACTAATAGCTAAGTTTAACGAGGTGCATTTGTGATCTCAGAAAAATATACTTTCCCTCTCTAATCACACCGACTTGTGAGAAATTCAGACCGCTGACACTGACATCATTAACATCAGCTAAGTTTACCTGGAGGTTCTGGCCTTGAAGTGGTGGCGTTTCTATAAAAAGTAAAGTGAGCAGTTGGCCAGGCAGGCAGGTGAATTCTCTTCCAGGGGCTGGGAACTTCTCCAGCTTGCATAAAAATGTAATTTAAATTTTGTGATTGAAAATCATTGTTTATATCTCCTCAAGCATACTCGCCCCAACTCTCCACCTCACCGCCATCCTGCTGGGCTCCTTAAAGAACCAGCAACAAGCTAAAATCTCATTTTGGTTTTTAACTCATTTGCACTAATGTGGTTTTATTGGTGGTGGTTGTATTTGAAGTATCCTTAACATTTGCTAAGAAGAAAATATTACTGTGTCTCTTTTTGTCAATGCTTACTCCTCTCAAAAGAAGGTATGTGTGTTTATGTCTTTATAAATTATAAAAGGCTTCTCCATTCTTCCTCCCCGCCCCCCCCCCCCAACTCCTTTATCTGCCCTGGCACGTAAGCTTGCTATTTTCACTGAACAAGTCAGAGAAGAGAGAAATCAAATCTGAATGGACATGGATCACACTCTAGGAAAAGATGTCTTTGCAATCTGTTCCATCCGAGCACACCCTCACCCCTGCATACCCAGGAACGCTGGGTTTTGGTTTGGAGGTTTTGCATGAGCATGGGGATGGGTGAGGTAGAAGGAAGGCGAATGGGGACAAGCCTTGAGTGAACGTGTGAAAAGATCCCAGGCTCTTCTTTATTTTCAAAGCTATGCCGAGAACACCCACTCATATCATCCACCTAATAGGACTGTCTCATGAGGTAATTTACAGATCTCTGACAAGAAAAGTACCCCTTTGAGCCTCGTATTTGCCACCTTGAGAACTTGGAGCTGTGGTTAAAGCATCAGCTCACACACACGACAGGAAAGGTGAAGCCTTGAGTGTCACAGAGGTGATCTAGTAAATTCAGGGTGTGCAAGCAAAGAAATCACTCTGGAGCCCAGGCTTCAAGAGGGAGCATCTGGGTGGGTGAAGAAGGGGAGAGTCTGTGGTAACATGGACATTCCCACTAAGGGAAGGTGAGTTACTGTAAGACATGATGAGGTTCCACAGCCTCATGACCCACTGGCAAAAATGAAACCATTGGAATGAAAGCCATTTGACAGAAAGGCCAGGGAGGAACATGAAATGAGAGCAGCCTGTGCCTGGGATCTGAGGTTTCACTGAGCAACCGCCATACAAATTAGACTTGACCATCACAGGAGACGTCAGACAGAGGCAGGCCCAGGGGGTCAAGGACGGCCAGTAGCTCACGCACTTTCACCTGCCAGCCCAGGGGTGGGGCACGTCCCTTCTCCCAGTGTTGGATAAGCCAGCCCATAGGAAGGTGATCCGGTGTGGGGGCCCCAGCGGCAAATGTCGCAGAAGGACAGACAGACATGGAGAATGGCTGCTGACCTCCAGTGGGCTGTAAAGACCAGATTCTCTGGGAGACACATCTGTGTCCAAGATGGACCATCCAGCCTCGGCAGAGGCCAGCTCGTGTCCGTTGTGTTGGGGCTGATTTTTATTTTCTTCACTCTAATGTTTTTAATTTCTAAATTCTCTAAAATTCGTATTAAAGTTGGGGGCGCCTGGGTGGCTCAGTTGGTTAAGCGACTGCCTTCGGCTCAGGTCGTGATCCTGGAGTCCCGGGATCGAGTCCCACATCGGGCTCCCTGCTCAGCAGGGGGCCTGCTTCTCCCTCTGCCCTCTTCCCTCTCGTGCTCTCTGTCTCTCATTCTCTGTCTCGCAAAAAAATAAATAAAATCTTAAAAAAAAAAAAAATTCGTATTAAAGTTTTAGATTCAGAAAAGATTCCTTTTAATGTCGGCAGCCCCTTAAAGCTCCCTCTTATCGACGTTTACAGGCAATTTCAAATCCTGCACATCACCGTAAGCATGGCGGACATTCCTAACTTTTCTTGTCTTTGGTTAAAGGTGGTGTCGCACAGAATGGGACTGTGTCAGGAGCTCTTGGGCTACTTCGGCCTCTTTCTCATGCGGTTTTGCAAAGAGGGCAAACTCTCTGGTAAGGAGAGAGGGAACGCAGGGCAGCCAGGAGCCGGGGAGGGCCAGTGTGGGTGGGCACTCAGCCCACAGGATGCGGGAGATACAGCCGAGGGCAGGGTGGCGTGTGGGCCTTACTACTGCCCTCAGCCCCTGGATCAAAAGTGGGGGGATGAGAGGTTGTGTCAGTGTTCAGGGTGAGCCGGGGATGAGCAACTCCCCGGAGAGGTGGCGTGGGCAGTAGCAAGACGTCAGGTCCTTCCAGCAACTGCACTTGGTCTTGTGCCTGCCCCAGCCCCAGGCCTGATGCCCGTCTCGCCTTGACCCTAGCCGCTGACCACCACCCATCGCACAACCCCCTCAGAAATGGAGTGCTAGACTCCAGGTGTCAGGACATCTCATCACACCATCGCTTCTCCTTGTTAAGGAATGTTGGCTATAAAATGTGGATGCTATAGATAAGTTCTCAGATTCTTAAAACACACATAATGAGGTAGTGAAAGAGGACAGTATGATTCACATCACTTTTGCATTTCTCTCCAGTGTATGTCTAAGACATTACAAGTTATTTACTTGTGAAATGGTATCGGTTATCTGAAGGCAGTTTACATATGTTCTCAAGAAGCTGCAGAGAGGTGGTCTTGAGTTGGATGTCAAGGGGTTTGTGTGGCAGCTTGGCCACTGAGCTCCGCGGTGTGCTGGCAGGGCAACAGACCTCTCTGGACCTCAGGTTCTTCTTCAGTATCGCAGGGTAAAATATCCCCTACTAAAGGTGTTGATATTTTATGAGGATCAAATGCTATTTATCTTTTGAAGGAATTTCAGAAAGTTAAAAATTGTGTACAAATGCAAGGGAATGTTATTGTTGTGATTTTATTCTTTCTAATGGTAATGATTTATTTTCTCATTTCAAAGCCTCGGTATGTAAACTATATGTGCTGTTTCAACCAATAAGACTCTCTTTCCCCTTTCTCTAGTCATGAAAAAATTGGTGGACTTTGAACTCCCTTATGTGAGTCTTCGAAGCGCTGAAGTGGAAAACTGCAAGGTCGGACTCAGGAAGTGGTAAGCATTTATGGTGATGGTAGGTATTTGAGGATGTTTTAGATTCCTGCTGAGAATTTGTTGGTCTCACCCTGTCTGCCCACAACCTAACAGCTAGAGAGGGACCAGGAATTTGGAGACAGTTGAGAGGAGAGCAATAAAGAAGAGAGAGTGGAGAATGAACCAGAATATTTGTCCTAAACAATAGGATGTTGAGGATGACTTTCACTGGTCTCCAGTAAGTACTTGAGGGTTGTCATGAAGATGGTGGCCATGAAGGCAAGGCTTGAAAAGTAAGTGCTGTTGGGGTGGGGATCGAAGCAGGAATGATGAGAAACTGCAGGTTGTGGGCTTGCTTTGGAATGGGTTACCAACTCTATTAATTGACGGAATTTGTTGGTGATTACAAGCAGGTGCAGTTCATCTGTTGAACTGTGGTATTCCCTAAAGGCCAAGGGTGGACTCAGCCAACTTGCAGTGAATTTGAACTCTTAAGTATTCAGCTTACATTCCTAAATGATTCCAACAATAAATGCATATAAACCAGGGCCAGCCATACTCCTAGATTGATTGAACACCTTGCAGAAAATACTACCCTTTCCCCCAGAAACAAGAAGGCCTATGGAGAGCTAACAAGCAGAAAATAACAAGAAGCACCCTGGGGCGCCTGGGTGGCTGAGTAGGTTGAACATCTGACTCTTGATTTTGGCTCAGGTCATGGATCTCAGGGTTGTGAGATAGAGCCCCACGTCAGGCTCCATGCTCAGTGGGGAGTCTGCTTGAGATTCTTTGCCTCTCCTCCCATTCTCTCTCTTGCTCTCTCTCAAATAAATCTTTTTAAAAAATAGGAAGCACCCCACATATATCCCATAATCTGTAGTTCGCAGTGTTTATTACCGTGGCTGTATTGGATTGCTTCTTTGGTTCCCTCTCTCCCAGCCCAGCTATTCTGTAATCTGAGGACAGAAGTCTTATAGAAAGGCATTTTGTAATCTAGGAATAGTAGCTATCTTGACCTCGTGATGCCTTGCTTAGAGCTCCAGTCTGTGGTTTTGAATTTTGGAAGGATATTTTGGGCAAGGCTAAAAGTTCATATACTGCTATTCAAAAGTATTCTGAGAAACTGTCAAAACCTGTGGCATGGAACCCTGAGAAGGGGAAAAGGAAAAAGCCTGAGCAGTTCCATCTAAGTGTTTCTGGAAGCTGCTTAGTATAACAAGTGGCTGAGCATGATAATTCCTGGGATCAGAGTATGTGAATCTAAATCCCAGCCCTCTCAGGATTTAGCTGAATAACCTTAGCCAAGTTACTCAAGCTCACTAAGCCTCAGTTTCTTTATCTGTAAAATGGGAATAATAATAAAAGTCTACCTCAAACAATTAATATGAGGGTTAAATAAAATAATTCCACATGCTCAATCAATTTTGGTCTTGTTTGTTACTGTTATAATGAGGATAATAATGATAATAGTAATAACAATAACAACAGAAATCCCTGGGGCTTAGACTGTTTGCTCATGGGCTCTCCAGAGAACTTGACATCAAAGAAGACATGAGGATTCTGTCCCTCACCTTGAAGCCTTAATTGGAAACTGGGCTTAGCCTATGTCTTCATTAAATAGGTATATTCTAGATCATCAGTGCAAGAGAAAATGTCATTCACTTGTCAGCGTCTCGGATCCAGGCGGGTTGCCTTTGCTTAGGGGAACTGGGAAGAAAGGAGGTCCCACTCCAGTTGTTAGAGCTGAGGGTCAAGTCACCCGAGGGGGAGAGCCTGGAGTAGGATCCTGAAGGTGACTTGTCCTCTTTCTGGAAAAGTCTAACTGAGTGGGAGCAGGGAGGCTAGCTTAGCTGCCATGAGCTGTGGGATTCCCAGCAGGTGAAGCATCACAATGAAGCCTAGCCAGCATTTGGGGGATTTTTCTCTGTCTGTGAATTCTCTGGTGCATCTCTCCAATTATGATGTGGTTCCTTCCAGACTGGAGGGAGCCCACCCTGGCCTCTCAGAGCCCCAGTGTGGGATGGGTCTGGGGGCTCTCTAGCTCTGACGTAACAGTTGCTCTTCTCTGCCATGGAGAATAGGGTGTATGCGCTGCATGGCAAATTAGCTAAATAGAATATAACAGAGTGCTTCCGTTGCTTCTCCTCCAGGAGGAAGGTGATCTTCAAGTTACATTTTCATCCTTTCCTAATCTATGCCAATCCCATTGGTCTATTAACCATTCACTTCTAAGTGCAGTGATTCTACTTACGTCTGCCTTCAGACTGGTTTAGACCAGCTGCAGTGGATCCTTTCCTGACCGTTTCCATCCATTCTCAGCAGCTCCTGTGCTTATACAGGAGCTATGATTTCAGTTTATCCTGATGATTCTGGATCCGTTAGACAGACATGGAGCCCTGCCATTTGCAAGTCACTTTGTGAAGGTCCAGAGGGGCAACTCCAAATAGGATGCAGCCCCGACATACCTGGTATCAAGATCAACTTGATGAGAGCAGTGATCAGGATGAATTCAGAGTGCTAAGGATGCACAGAGGATGGAGTGGAAGCCTTGGGGAGTGGGGACCAGAGGATGCCAGGGGAGGCAGATAAGTCAGGGATGGAGGCTGGGGAGGGCAGTGGTCTTCCAAGCAGAGGAGAGAACACATGGTTGGAATGTAGAGTGTGAGGGAGGGAGGTGGGTCATAGATGGAGCTGGAAATGAAAGCTAGGTATCCCATGACGGGCACCATGGAAGGGAGCAGGATGAGTGATCTAACTCCTGGGACTATGAGAGTCCAAAGATTACTCAGGAAAGAACACTTAGGTTCGAATGCAGAGCCTGAGACTGAGTGGGGCAAGGCTGAGGCAGATGGCCTGACAAAGAGAGCAGCTCGGGGGATAGACGGAGGTGGCCTGGGTACAGGGCAGTGATACAGATGTGGGTATGGGGCTGATGAAGACACCAGGTACTGTGGGGTGGGGAGAGGGCATCCACACTTGGGGACTGACAGCGGGGCTGAGTGTGAAAGGGGCTGTGGACCATTTTCCGTCAGCTTTATTGTTTGGCATCTTTACTCTCAGGGTCCACCAGGCAAGAGCTTACAGTGTAAAGAAAATAGGAGACAGAGAGGTGGAGGGACAAACTGAAAGCCAGGCGAGGAGAGGGGTGTTAGAAAGGGGGGGCTCAGTTTAAAGTGTGGGGGGCCACCACTTCAGAGAGCACTTTCTCCCAGGTGTGCCCACCAGCCATGTCATATGAATGAACTTAATGTTCCTGAATCACACAGGTACATGGACCCATCCCTGGACTCCGTGCTGATGGACTGCCCAGCAGCGGTAGATTTGATCTATATGCAGGTGAGGGTGACCGAGGGCTCTCAAAACATCAGATGTTCTTGACCATTTGAGAGTGAAACCATTAGAAAAAATTTGTAATAGCTAAGAATTCTACCTCCATAGCTAGAAGAGGGAAATTCACAGAGACAGAAAGTACAACAGAAGTTATTAGGGGTTGGGGGGCAGGGAGTTATTGTTTAATGGGTACGGAATTTTTGCTAGGGATGCTAAAAAAGTAGGTATGAGAGAGTGTTAATAGTTACATGACATTATGAATGTTTTTAGTGCCACCGAATTGTACACTTAAAAATGGTTAAGAAGTGGGGCACCTGGGTGGCTCAGTCAGTTAAGCGTCTGCCTTCGGCTCAGGTCATGATCCCAGGGTCCTGGGTTGGAGTCCCGAGTTGGGCTCCCTGCTCAGCTGAGAGCCTGCTTCTCCTTTGGCCTCTCCCCCTGCTCACATGCGTGCCTTCTCTCTCTCTCTCTCTCTCTAAAATAAATAAACCTTTTAAAAAATGGTTAAAATGATAAATATTATATGTATTTTACCACAGTAAAAAAATTTTAAAAAGCAGCAGAATTTAGAAAGAAAGTTCTACCTCCATTTTAACAATCTCTCTGAGTTTTCTAGCCGACACTCCATCATCTGGGCCAATTTCCATGAGCTTAGAAATGATGTCCCTGATAATCTAAAGCTACATGGGGTCCCTAAATCTCATTTTAGCATCATCTTCTTTTTCCCTGAGCTGACAAGCAGCGTACCTGCCCGCAGGCCCCGCTTCAGGGGTGTGTAGCCTGTGAAACAGCACTGGGCCCCAAGCTCAGATGGGCCCCACACTTGTTTAAGATTCTGCTGTCGCCATCTTGAAATCCTTAATTTTGGAACAACAGACCCCACATTTTCATTTTGCATTAGGCTCTGCAAATTATGTTACTGGTGCTGCCTACCCCGGTACCCTAAGCCCCAGAAAGTACATTTAGAGTTTGGCTCCTTTCCTTTCCCGGACTCGGGAAAGGTGGTGAAGGTTCTACTAAGCAGTGGGACGGTTAGCGGACGCTGCCTCTGTGATAAGTCCCCAGTTACCCCCCCGAACCCCCTCTGTTCTCCTGCCTCACCAGCCCCCTTGTTACTACATACACGATGTTTCTCCATGGAATGGGAGTTATCACTTACACAGAAAGGCAAAGACAGGGTACCTCGTGACTCAGTCAATTAAGCGTCCGACTCTTGGTTTCTGCTCAGGTCATATCTCAGGGTCGTGAGATCGACCCCACATCAGCTCCATGCTCAACAGGGAGTCTCCTGGAGATTCTCTGTCTCTCTGCCCCTCCCCTCGCTCACTCTCATTCTAAATAAATAAATAAAATCTTTTAAAAAAGGCAAAGACAGAGTGGCGGATTTCCCTTTTATATTCATAAAGCAAAGTCTCATCTTTGAAGAAATGACCACACTTCCATATTATCTTGTAAAGCAACGAGCAGGTGCTTTATGCACCCAGAGAGAGGGAAACTGCTCGGTGTTTTACTAAAGCTGTATGCAAAAGGACTGCCCGGCACAGGCCAAGCAGGGCAGCCGAAGGCAGGAGAACTCACCAAATGCCTCAGAAGAACTAAAAGTAATTACCAGCTGGTGGCGGGTTCACGCACCATGCACCAAAGTCACAGGGCACTGTGCCGCCATTTAACCGGCAGTGTTTTTACTTAGTGTCTCACAAAATCATGGTACCAGAATCCACAGTATCTTCAATTTGACAAAGTAGAGCATCATTGACATCTGTATTTTCCCCACTAGACCACCAGCCCCATGCAGGGACCTTGGCTTTTCCAACGCTGGATGCAGCACCTGGGGGTAGGACGGAGGAGACACAGGGAGCCCAGTGGCCAGAATGTCTATAAGGGGTCACAGCCCTAATACCCACTCCTTCTTATGTGACTTTTTTTTTTTCAGATTTTATCTATTTATTTGGGAGAGAGAGACAGAGATGGTGAGCAGGGAAGAGAGGAAGAAGCAGACTCTCCACTGAGCAGGGAGCCCAATGCGGGGCTCGATCCCAGGACCCTGGGATCATGACCCGAGCTGAAACCAAGAGTCAGACTTAACCAACTGAGCCACCCAGACACCTCTCTTCCGTGACTTTTTAAGAGACCAAGGCAATTTAATAAATCATCTTTACAAAGCTATTCTAAATTCTAAGGAGGCAAATCAAAATATCACTTATTACATGTTTAATGTTCACTGTTGTAGTTTAATGGCTAGAATACAGTTTTGAGTTCATTTCTTATCATATTTTAATTACATCCACGTTGCGTGAGTTTAACTTGCCATTTTAAACGTTTACCGAGGCTCATTGCTGTTGTATCCTGCTATTACAGCACGTTATTAGTTGTGTCTGGTCTATTTGATACCACGTCCTTGGGGAGAAGGCATCACCCAGTTCTATTGTTCTGGTGGGAAACAGAGTCTTTCTGGCCTGGTTTCCAGGATACGTTGTGGTGAGAAGTAGGACCTGCCAGCATCATCATAGGAATTTTATCTGTCTTCATCAAGGAGTTGTAAACCAGAGAGAAATGGACCGTATTTCCTCTGCTTATAGCTGGGGGAAAGAAATGGCTTCACAGAAAGCACACTGAATTCAGTTTCAAAGATGAGTTCTGTCCCTTGCTCTGTGGCAGGCTGTCTCTCCGTGTGATCTGGGGCCCGCCACTTCATCCTCCTGAACCCGGCACTACAATGTCCCCCTGTTAAGCGATGAGATTGAACTGCTAAGTTCTCCCTCCGCCCGAAGAGACTGGTATTCAAACTGTAGCTCTTTGCCTGGCAAAATCTTCGAAAGATTGTAGCTGACATTATAATCATCTATGCATCAGCATTCTCATTGTTCACTGAGTCCACACAGAGGTACCAAGAAGTCGGCCCCAGGGAGTCATGACCACCAGGGTGGTCTCTTTTGCTGAACTCTTCTCAGCTCCCCTCGAAAGAAAATGCCTCCCTCCTTCTCTGCTCCTGTGGTATTTTGTTTATACCCTCCATTATGGTGCTTCTCACCCAGCCTTGTAAATACTGCTCATATACCTATTTGCCTAACTAGACTCTGAATGGCCCAGGGCAGAGACTGTCCTGGGAGCTTAGGGTGTGTGAAGGTATGAGAAGCAATCATCCTTTTAAATAATTAATGCAGAAAGTTCTTCGGAGGTCTTCCGATAAATAACGATGCCATCATAATTAAGGGACACCCTTTTGATTTTTCTTTTTTTTTTTTAATTTTTTTTTTTAAAGATTTTATTTATTTATTTGACAGAGAGAAACACAGTGAGAGAGGGAACACAAGCAGGGGGAGTGGGAGAGGGAGAAGCAGGCTTCCCGCGGAGCAGGGAGCCCGATGCGGGGCTCGATCCCAGGACTCTGGGATCATGACCTGAGCCGAAGGCAGACGCTTAACGACTGAGCCACCCAGGCGCCCCCTTTTGATTTTTCTAAAGCAGGTGTGCCCCATGAGGTCCTAGGAGCCAAGTGGACTCCCACATGTTCCCTTTCTTTTTCTTTTTTAAAATTTGAGTAACATTAACAGAATGGAAGATTGTATATAAAACTATAAATTTCTGGGTTTTCTCAAAAATATTGAGGCTTGGTCAGTTCTGGGCCTGCATTTCAGCACCACTGGCCGGTATGGTTAACTTTGTGCAAATTAGAACAAGAGGTCCCTTCCTCCAGGCCGGCCTAACCCTGTTGTCAGGGCCCGTGGCTCGGGGAAGGGAGCCCGGGTTGACCGTTAGCTTCCCCGGAGCTCCATGGGCCGGCGCCCTTTATGCAGAGGCTGGCCTACCCACACAGGCCTGGCCTTGCTCTGCCATGCCTCCACCAGCTGCAGCTGAGTGGCTGATGCCTTTCTTTATGTTCCTCACTGCTGTACCCTCTGCGGGGGATACGAGATATGTGTGTTTGAAGCTCGTGAAACCCATGGCTTAGGTGATTTCACTCGATTTTAAAAAATTAGTTTCTACATCAGTCTCCAGCAGCCAGTCTTTGGGGAGCCAGAGAACTGAGCAGAGCCATTTGTCTAAACTTGACTCTCTCATTGTTAGAATGAGGTCCTGTATGTCATGTATTTGATGACTCGTGAGCCCATAATCAGGGTCAAATCTTTTCAAAGGTAGTGAAACAAAAGCAGTCCGTTCCTGCTGATGTAGGGCATTTAAATCTCTGTGTCTGAGAGTCCCAGGTCCCCTAATGCTGAATGACATATCTTCAGTGAGTCCTTACTGTTGTGATTGCTGTTCACCTTCTTTCTTTAGCCATGCTTTTCTCTTTGATATCCCTGCCCTGTGATAACAGCCCTTACAGGACTCTACCACCAAGTAGAATTCAGGAAAGGAAAAGGTGTTCCGTTCTTCACACCCACATCGATTCCATTCAGGCATGGTGTCTAGGTTCAGTTTTTAGAATAGTTGGTGACCATGAGAAGGTCTTGGGGAGGTTAGGTGCCTATATGCTCAGAATTCAGTGGCTTGGGCAAGGACTTCGTGCAGGGGCCAAATCGGGATTTTAACCCAACTCTTGCCACTTACTTGTCGGGTTGTCTCGAAAGCCATAACCTCTCTGGAGGTTTACCCATTTGTAGGATGGGGGGATGTTCCTACCCCACAGAATAATTTGGAAAAAGTCAATAAGAAAACCTTTCTACAACAGGTTCTCAACAAATACTATTTTTCTTCTCCTCTCTAAACCCATCTCCTTTTCCCCCAATCTAAATAGCTAAATCAAAACTTTATTCAGCTTTTCATTCTCTGTTTGGAGATAAAGCATAACCAATAACACTGCGGGATGGAACACGTAAACTTACATTCAGACTAGGGTGTAAATAAGTGCCTGACAATTGGCAAAGAATTGTTGAGTGTTGGCTGTAAGACCTTGGACAAGGTACACTGAGGCGAAGGACTCAAGGTTTTCCCCTGAGGGGTTAACAGGCTAACTGAAGACCAATGGAAAACTTCGTTTAAATCATGATAAATAAGAATAGCACAGGCTAATCGGCAAGTTTAAATCCCATCAGTTCTGTATGGAACTTCCTGTTTCCCTAAACCCTTGCTAGCCCTGATTATTATATATATTTTAGTCTTTGCCAAGTTGAGAGGCAAAAAAAAAAAAAAAATTACTGATTACTGGTGAAGTTAAATATAGATTTGTAATTTGGAATTCCTTTTTGTTGATTGCTGATACATATTCCTTATTGACATTTTTCCTATTGCTTTGCATGAATAATACCAACTTTTCCCCCACATATGATGCAGTCATTTTCTCTGGTTTGCCATTTACTTCTTAGTTTTGTTCTTGATGGTTTTTATGTACAGAAGTTTTATATTTTCATGTAATTATATATTCCTTTATATTTAAAAATATTATTCCTTACCTCAAGATCAGATTTTTTTTTTTCTGAATCTTTTTTTTTTTTTTTTGAAACATCTAAACCTTTATCTGGATTTATTTGATTGGGTGGCATGGGGAAAGAGCTAACTGTATTTTCTCTCCCAAGTGTGGCCAGTTTTCCCCAAACCATTGGACGATCTCTTCCTACACCCACTAATTTAAAAAGTAACCTTTATAACATGCTAAATCCTTATGTATGTCCACTGGGGTCTGTTTCCATAGCCTTTCATACATGAGTGTGTTTTTGCCAGATTAATTCATTTCTGCTAAGGTTGCTAATCCTACAACTTCTGTTGTTTTAAGGCAGTTCAGGACTTTGAAAAAGAATGGGCCAAACCCACACAGGCTCAGAGGCAGAAATTAGAGGCTCTCCAGAAAGAACACAACCAAACCAAGGTAAATCAGATACTGTACCAAGAGAAATCCCTTGGAGGGGAGTTAAAGAAACATTAGAATTGAGCTGTTTCTTAATTTATAAACCCATCAACCACTAAAAATGGGGTTCTTTTAAAAAATGAAAATACTGTCATTAATTTTTCTGATTATATTATTTAAAGATTCTGAAAAATACAGACAATAGATTGTGGTGAACGCTTTGCTCACTTAATATAGACTCTCAGCATTTTTTTTTAACGACCACAGAGTATCCTGTTTTATAGTTATCATTTAGCTAGCCAATTTCTTATTATTGAAAATCTGGTGGTTTCCTGTTTTTGCTGCTATAAATCGCTTTGGCAGCGAGTACCATGAGGCCCAGGACTGTGTTTAATTTACACATACCCTGGAAATTCCCAGCACCTGGAACGGTTCCTAGCTGAAGGTCCCTGAATACTGCAGGCCGCATCCTCTGTCTTTGCGTACGTGTTCTGTTATTTCTTAGAATATATTTCTAAAAGTCCATTTTTAAAGTTCCATGAAGATTGTACCAACTCACACTCCCCCTGTCCCCAAGCAGTGATCCAAGCCTGACGAACAAGGCATATTTTAACAGAAGAAATGGACTCTGCTTCATAGTGTTGTCTTCTTTATCCTTCAGACTTTGCCAGTGGTCACCACTTTGCCAGTGTTCACTCATTGATTTTAAACAAAATGCAAACAAAATTTAGAGGACTCATACCTACATTAGTATAGAAAGTAATTCTTTAAAAGCTCAGATATTTTGAGAATTTCACTGATGGGCAGGATAAGAAAAGGAAAAAGCATCTACTGCCATGATTTAATATTTTCCTTCCTTGGTATTCTGCCTCAGGTTTGTCACGAAAATTTGGGGGTTCAATTTCAGTTATAGTGTTTGTTTTGATGGATAGGATATTTAGATATAATCAGATACATCAGCTGCTTTGGATACAGTTACAGATTCTAAGTGGATTTCTGCTCCCTAAACTTTTCAATTTAATAATTTAGTAAGAATATTGTTTTTACCATGTGCTATACTCCACCAAAATTTGTATTTGTATTTTTGACATAAAACAAATTTTCTTTTCTATGATGAATGTTTTACCTGATTTTATCATACTATTTGTAATAGTCCTCTTTAAAAAACTTTACTTTGGGGCGCCTGGGTGGCTCAGTTGGTTAAGCGACTGCCTTCGGCTCAGGTCATGATCCTGGAGTCCCTGGATCAAGTCGCGCATCGGGCTCCCTGCTCGGCAGGGAGCCTGCTTCTGCCTCTGACCCTCCCTTCTCTCATGTGCTCTCTCTCTCTCATTCTCTCTGTCTCAAATAAATAAAATCTTAAAAATAAATAAATAAATAAATAAATAACTTTACTTTGAGTGCATGAATTAGATGGAAAAAAAAAAAACAAGAACTGAACCATGATTCAAATTAACTGATACTCTCTTGAAGCATCTAAGGATACTGGCATAAAAACCAGCATTATTTAAGTGTTTATAAAGTTCTTCTGCTAATAGATTCAGCACATTAACAACTATTGCTTTACTTTATGTCCATGTGCAAGAAAACCTGGAGTTGAAAATGAGTGAAATTAGGGGCGCCTGGGTGGCTCAGTTGGTTAAGTGTCTGCCTTCGGCTCAGGTCATGATCCCAGGGTCCTAGGATCCAGCCCCACATTGAGCCCCACATCGGGCTCCCTGCTCACTGGGGAGCCTGCTTCTCCTTCTGCCCCTCCCCCAATCATGCTCGAATACTCTCTCTCAAATAAATAAAAATCTTTAAAAAAAGAAAAGAAAGAAAATGAAATTAATTTAAAGGAGCAATTAGTTGATCTAAATCATAGATGGGCTAACTACAGCCCATGGACCACTGTTTTTGTAAATGAAGTTTTATTGGCACACAGCCATTCATTTACATACTGTCTAAGGCTGCTTTTTGTGCTAGGATGATTAAGGTGGGTAGTTATAATAGAGACAATATGCCCAGAAAACTGAAAATATTTACTATATGGCTGTTTACTAAAAAGTTTGCCGGAGTGCCTGGGTGGCTCAGTCGTTAAGCATCTGCCTTCGGCTCGGGTCATTGATCCCAGGGTCCTGGGATCGAGCCCCACATCGGGCTCCCTGCTCAGCGGGAAGCCTGCTTCTCCCTCTCCCACTCCCCCTGCTTGTGTTCCTGCTCTCGCTGTCTCCCTCTCTGTCAAATAAATAAAATCTTAAAAAAAAAAAAAAAAGTTTGCCAATCCTCAGTCTAAATGAAAATATATGAACATACCTTTTGTAGTTATGCTTGTTAAAGTATCTTTTTCAGGTGTAAGCTTCTTTAAAAAACTAATTTTCTTAAAAAAAAAAAAAACCCAACTAATCCTTGCAGATTTCTTTTACTTTGCATATGGTCAGTAACATCACTACACCTGCTTATTGAATGACAAATGCCCACAAGCATTTGAGTTACTAATTCATCACTGACTTTCTAGAGAAATGGAGCTTAACTTTTAAACACTTTCCGTCTCTTTGAGAGCATTGCAGCCAAGAGTTGATTACAAAACATTTTTTAAAGTGTTACCAAGCAATAAGATAACGATTTGTAGCATATAATAAATAAGAAACTATTGTAGCAAGAGCTTAAAACTGCTCTGTATGCTGTGTGGCAAGATTACTCAGCCCTTCCCCGACCCCTGCATGCATAGCGTAACTCAGGACCTGTCGTTTCTGCGGTTTCCCATTGACCCAGAGGAGGGCCAGGCAGCTTACCGCATCTCCTAAATTGAATGTGTGAACCACAGCAAATGAGCTGGTACAACGAACGATGTGAGGCTGGAAGGGACAGGAGCCTCAAATACCTCTCCCGCCTTGTAGTAACAGTCAGCTGCCCCTCACTGCTCATGTCTCGGCACATTTTACTTTCTCAGAGAGGGCTTCGTATAGTCCTTGAAAGGACTTAACCTTCCTTCAAGAAAAGATCTGGAAAGTGCCAGGTTGTCACTGAGTGATCTCTCTGATTTAACCATGTGTTCAAGTGAGAACTCCCTTTTCTTCGTGCTTATCTCCCACAGCATCAGGCAGGACCATGGTGAAAGCTGGAAGAACCAGGGAGAGGTCCCCAAACTGATATCAGCTTATTAAAAACCAATGGGTAATAATAATGCTTTGTTACAAAAATGAAAAGTCCCGGATAGATATTGTCAGGACAGGATGCCTGGGCCACAGGTGTGAACTGCAACTGTCCTCTGTTCTTAAGCCAAGTCAGAAGCAGAGGGAAAGGGGGCACCTGGGTGGCTCAGTCAGTTAAGCATCCGACTCCTGATTCCGGTTCAGGTCATGATCTCAGGGTTGGACAATTGAGCTCCGCGTCCGGCTCTGTGTTGGGTGTGGAGTCTGCTTAAGATTCTTTCTCTCCCTTTCCCTCTGCCCCTCCCCACTGGCTCTCTCTCTCTCTCTCTTAGAAAAAAAGAAAAGAAAAGAAAAGCAGAGGGAAAAGCTAAACCTTAAAAGTTACATAAAGGTGTTCCCTTGACATTATTGGGCTGTCTCTAACTCTACTTAGAAAGCAGACTCACTTTCTCATTTTATTGCCATTTGCAAAAACTCTTCCTCGGACAATTCATACCATCATCATATAATGCAGACTGTAAAAATTAACTACTTTCTTTCTACATAGACCTGAGCTTAGTTTTTTTTTTTTTTTTAAATTGCCTTTTTTTTTAAGGAGGCTCAACATCAAATATAGGGATTGAACTCACAACCCTGAGATCAAGAGTCACATTCTCTACTGACAGAGTCAGCTAGGTTCAGCATTTCGTTTCATTTACTTATTTATTTATTTATTTATTTTTATCTATTTATTTAACATTTTCTTTCTTTCTTTTTTTCTTTCTTTCTTTCTTTCTTTCTTTCTTTCTTTCTTTCTTTCTTTCTTTCTTTCTTTCTTTCTTTCTTTCTCTAAGAGAGAGAGTGCACGCAAGAGAGAGCACAAGCAGTGGGGAGGAGCAGAGAGAGGGACAAGCGGACTCTGCACTAATCACAGAACCTGATGCGGGGCTTGATCCCAGGACCCTGAGATCATGACCTGAGCCGAAACCAAGAGTTGGCTGTTTAACAGACTGAGCCACCCAGGCGCCCCCAAACAGCATTTTAAATGTACACTTTTTGTTTATTTTGCTGTTGTAATTTGCTGAGATAGAATCCTATCTACTCATTCATTTGATTCACTCTATTCTCCTCCATTCATCATTCAGTCACTGAATATTTTTGTTCCCACTATGTACCAAGCACTGTAATGGGAGCAGAGACACAATGGTGAATGAGGCAGAAATGGTTCAACCTTGGCAGGACGCACCATGAACTTCCCCAGGCCTTATTGTCAGGGAGCACAAAGGACATTGTCTTCGTTTGTATCATCCAGAAGAAAAAGGTGCTTTCACTGTGGCTCAATTCCCTGTGTTCCACGAGAATGGCAGTAGCTTCTGACATGAGGTTGTCACCTTTTTCAAGCAGTCTCTTGCTTCTTTTGCCCTACCTTCACCCCCGGAGCAGTTTCTGGAGCTGTCCCAAGAGGTCCGGCACTATGGGTACTTGCAGCTGGATCCGTGTACCTGTGACTACCCAGAACCAGGCTGTGGGGTCGTCCTCTCTGTTGGCAATAATGAGATCAGCTGCTGCATAACCCTGCCTGACAACCAGACCCAGGAAATCATTTTCCAGATGAACAGAGTGAAGTGCTGGCAGGTCACTTTCCTTGTAAGTATCTTGGCACTTTGCCTTACCCGTGATTTAAAGTCTCTACCCATGGTTTAAAAATCCTATTGTCTTTGGATGACAAAGTTGGCAGTAGGGAGATGGGCCTGCCGTTTGCATCACTACCTTGAGTGGACCGGCATCTAAGCCACATGAAGCATCACCTAATGGTAAAACCTGTCTCTGGTCTGGTGCAAGTGGCCCATCCATAACAGTAGAGACAGCCATCTTCCCACTTGGCAACAACAGGCTTCTTTACTGCTTGGAGGCTGGTTATAGTAATACGGCATAGAGAAACAATGGCTACTGTTTATGGAGTACTTAATACAGACTCAGTACTGACAAGATTTCTACCCTTGGAAACTGGATGCTGACCAGTAGAGCTCTCCTCAAGGATCCCCAGCCTCATACTTACATTGCCATCTCCTCCCATAGGAAATGCTATGATCAGATGTATTGAGTGCCTACTTTGTATCAGATGCTGTTCTGGGTGCTGCCACATCTATTTAATTAAATTCTTGCAATAACTCAGTGAACTAAGTGGGATTATCCCCTTTACACAGGAAACTGGGGTTAACTCGGAGAGGACAAACACTATTAGAACAACCGCGACCCCCAGTTGCTAAATCCTTGGAATCCACAGGGATTTTTTGGCTGGCACAATACTAAACCTCTCTGTGGCATTTGGTGTTGTCAACCATTACTTGCTTCTCAGAATTCCCTCTCCTTCCTCCCCTGTTTTGTGGGCTGCCTCTTCCTCTGAGCACTTCTGAAGTGCTCGTTTCCCCTGGGGTTCCATTTCCATCTTTCCTCTACATATTCTCTGAAATCAATTGCCTACCTCCCTGTCGAAAGGTCCAGTATTTCCTAATGCCTTCTGGACATCTACACCAGGTGTCTCATGGACATCCCAAATGCAGCCTTTTCCCAAACCAGACTCATCCTTGCCCTCTCCTGCCCATCCTAGAGATCCTCCCCACTGTGTTCCCCATTTTGGTAAATACGACTTCTACCACCTGCTAAAGGCCAAACCAGCAATCTTGACATTTTCAGCATATGATTCCAGTCTTTTAAACTTACAGGAACTTGTTTTATGGCCCCAAATCTGGTCTATCTTGGTGAATGTTCCATGTATACTTGAAAGGAATGTGTATTCTGCCACTATTGGGTGAAGTATTCTGTAAGTTATCAATTAGGTCAAGCAGTTGACAGCGTTCAGATCTCCTGTATCCTTGTACGTTTTCTACTTGTTCTATCAGTTACTGAGAGAAGAGGAATGTTAAAACCTTCAAACCTAATTGTGGATTTGTCTATTTCTTTGAGGTTTATCAGTTTTTCCCCTCTTTTCCTGCCTTCTATTGATTAAGTATTTTATGATTCCATGTATTTACACCATTTTTTTTTAGTTGTACCTTTTCATTTATTTATGGTTACTTTAGACTTCTTGAACTTATTACATTCCACTTTTAATTATTATACTACACAAAAAGTGTAACAACACTGTACTTCTCTTTCCCCTTTTGTGATATTTATTGCCATATTTCTACATATATAATCCTCATGCTGCATTATAATTATTTTTGCTTTTAAACAGTTGATTCTTTTTAAACTTTTAATTTTGATGTAACTGTAGGTTCGCATGCAGTTGTGAGAAATGGTACAGAGATCCCGTGTACTCTTCACCCACTTTTCTCAAATTGTTAGTTACATCTTGCAAAACTATAGCACAACATCAACATCAGAATATTGGCATTGATACAAGCAGGAGTCCAAACATTTTCATTATCCCACGAACCCCTCATGTTGGCCTTTTAGAGCTCTACCCACTTTCTCTCGCCACACCTCTCTTTAGCCCCAAGGAACCACTAATCTGTTTTTTTTTTTTTAATTTTTTTTTTATTAAAGATTTTTATTTATTTGACAGAGAAAGACACAGCGAGAGAGGGAACACAAACGGGGAGTGGGAGAGGGAGAAGCAGACTCCCTGCCGAGTAGGGAGCCCGATGCGGGACTCGATCCCGGGACTCCAGGATCATGACCTGAGCCGAAGGCAGTCGCTTAACCAACTGAGCCACCCAGGCGCCCTGTTTGTTATTTTTATAATTGTGTCATGTCAGGAGTGCTACGTAAAACTTTTGGAAGTGATGGATATATTCATTACTTTGATTGTGGTGATGGTTTCATGAATGTATGCTTATGTCCAAACTCATCAGATTGTGTACATTAAATATGTGCAGGGTTATTTTTTTACATCAATTATACCTCAATAAAACTTAAAAAAATAAAAACACGGGGCGCCTGGATGGCTCAGTTGTTAAGCGTCTGCCTTCAGCTCAGGTCATGATCTCGGGGTCCTGGGATCGAGCCCCACATCGGGCTCCCTGCTCTGCAGGAAGCCTGCTTCTCTCTCTCCTACTCCCCTTGCTTGTGTTCCCTCTCTCGCTGTGTCTCTCTCTGTCAAACAAATAAATAAATAAAATCTTTAAAATAAATAAATAAATAATAAAAAACACAGGTTTTAGAAACCTAAAACAAGATTATGTACTGGTCAGTCGATGAAAATGTTGTGACCAGAGGTTTGCAGGAACCTAACCGTGCATTTCCCCTGGAGCAATAACTCGGTGTTCAGTAATGCAGTGTTTACAGTGACTTTATAGAACAGGACTACTGTGAATAATAAGAATTGACTGCATTTAGGAGGCAAAAATATAAACAAAAACAAGGAATTGATTACCTTACAAATGTTCTTCAAGTGGAATCATATGTAGCCTTCAGGACTGGCTTTTTTTACTCAGCATAATTCTTTAGTAATTCACTCAGATTGTTGTATATGTCAGGAGTTTGGTTCTTTTTATTGCTGCGCAGTATTCCATGGTATGGAATGGACAAGATTTATTTAACCACTCACCCAATGAACGATACCTGGTTGTTTCCAGTTTTTAGCTATTATGAATAAAATTCCTATAAACATTCATACGTATGTTTTGGAGCACAAATCTCCATTTCTGTGGCATAAATGCTTGGGAGGACAATGGCTGGGTTATTTGGAAGTTGCGTGCTTACTCTTTTAAGAAATTGCCAAACGATTTTCAAGAGTGGCTGCGCTAATTTCCATTCCCACCAGTGATGCCTGAGTGATGGAGTTTCTCTGCATCCTCATCAGCATTTGGTGTTGTCACTGTTTTTCAGTTCAGTCATTCACCTAAGTGTGGAATGGCATTTCATTGTGATTTTAATTTGCATTTCCCTCCTGGCTGATGGTGCTGACCATCTTTTCATATGCTCATTTGCCATCTTGTCTGTCTTCTTTGGTGAAATGTTTTCTTCCATATCTTTTGCCTATTTTCTTTTTTTTTTTTTTATTCTTATGTTAATCCCCATACATTACAACATTAGTTTTAGATGAAGTGTTCCATGATTCATTGTTTGTGCACAACACCCAGTGCTCCATGCAGAATGTGCCCTCCTCAATACCCACCACCAGGCTAACCCATCCTCCCACCCCCCTCCCCTCTAGAACCCTCAGTTTGTTTTTCAGAGTCTATCGTCTCTCATGGTTTGTCTACCCCTCCGATTTCCCCCGCTTCATTCTTCCTCTCCTGCTATCTTCTTCTTCTTCTTCTTTTTCTTAACATATATTGCATTATTTGTTTCAGAGGTACAGATCTGAGATTCAACAGTCTTACACAATTCACAGCGCTTACCAGAGCACATACCCTCCCCAGTGTCTATCACCCAGTCCCCCCATCCCTCCCACCCCAACCCCCACTCCAACAACACTCAGTTTGTTTCCTGCGATTAAGAATTCCTCATATCAGTGAGATCATATGATACATGTCTTTCTCTGTTCTAATTGATTGTTTGGGGTTTTTTGTTTTGTTTTGTTTTGTTTTACTGTTGTTTTGAGAGTACTTCATATATCCTAGTTACTAGTCTTTTGTTGGATATGTGGTTTGCAAATATTTTCTCTCACTCTCTAGTTTTTCATCCTCTCAACAGGGTCTTGTACAGAGCAAAAGTTTTTAATTTTGATGAATTCTAATTCATCAGTTTTTCATTTTATAGATTGTGCTTTTAGTGTTGAATCTAAGAACTCTTTGCCAAACCCTGGTTCCTGAAGATTTTTTTCTTAGAGTTTTTTTCCTAAAGGTTTTACAGTTATAGGTCATACATTTAAGTCCATGACTCATTCTGAGTTAGTTTTCATCTAGGGTGTGAAACTCAGAACGACATTCCCTTTTTTGCCTGTGGAAGTCCACTGACTCAGCACCATTTGTTGCAAAGCCTGTCCTTTAAGTGACTTGCTTTTGCACCTTTGTCAGATATCAGCTGGGCATATTTGTGTGGATTTATTTCTGGATTCTCTAGTCTGTTCCATGATGCATATGTCTATCCCTCCCCCAGTACTACATACACAGTCATTCCCTTCCTTTGTAACAGCTTTATCAAGATATAACTCACATACCATACAATTCACTTATATAAAGTGTATAATTCAGGGGTGTTTAATGCATTCCCAGAGTTTTGCATCCATCACCACAATCAGTTTTAGAATACTTTCATCACCTCAGAAAGAAGTCCCGTACCCCTTAGCTCACGTCTGTATCCCCCCATTCCTACCAGCCCTAAGAAGCCACCAATCTGCTTGTCTTTATAGATTCACCCATTCTGAACATTTCATGATTAATGGAATCATATATGATCTTTGTGACTGGCTTCCTTTACTTGGCATAATGTTTCCAAGTCCACCCTTACCATAGCATGTATAAACACTTTATCTTTTTCATGATCAAATACTATTTTGTTGTATGGATATACTATATTGTGTTTATTCATTCATTCATGGACATTTGGGTTGTTTCTCTCTTTTGGTTGTTATGAGTTATGCTGCTATGAACATTTGTGTATAAGTTTTTGTGTGGATATAGGTTTTCATTTCTCTTGGGTATATGATTAGGAGTGGAATTGCTGGTACCATGATGGTAATTCCATATTTCATTTTGTGAGGAACTTCTAGACTATTTTCCAAATAGTCTGCTTGATGTTATGTACCCACCAGTGATGTATGAGGGTTCTCCCCATGCACGGACAGAATATTATTCAGCCAAACATCTGAAAAGAGCTCTCTGGAGCTCTTATTCTGTATAAAGTCCTTGTCTGTGATCCTCTGCCCCACAGATTGCATCCAAATTAGGTGCCCATCCTACCTCCTTCCATAGACCTGGGTTTGCTTCCCTTACAATACTTATAATACTTATCATACCAAACTGTGGTAACTTACTTTCATAGCCCCTCATAGACTGACAGCGTCCTGGGGATAGTGACTATATCACTTGTTTTAATATTTTGCCCAGCAGTTAATAGCTGCTTAAATTTCTATTGGAGATCAAATACTATCTTTTCTCTGTAGGGAACTCTGCCGAATATGGAGGGACCCCAGCAAACTCTCAACCAAAACTTAGAGCTCAGATTTCAGTTTAGTGGAGACGGTGGCTGGCAGTGGTTTGTTATTTACACCAAGCAGGTGAGTTCTTGGGACAGCATATGAGAACCAGCACTGAAATGCTCTCCTGCTTGCTGGGGTGAACAAAGCACATTACCCTAACCCAACCAGAGCAGAGTACTAGAATATGCTATACACCCTCCTTTTTGGCCTATAATACTGTTTTTTTTTTTTTTTTTGGTTTATTTTTTGTTTTGTTTTATTTTACTGGTCACCACAGGCTTCATGTCGATTACAAATGAATTTAGTTACTAAATAACAGAAGACTCAACTAATAGTGGCTTAGACAAAGCGTTGGTGAACTTTCTCTCAAAGGGCCAGATGGTAAATATTTTAGTTTGGGGGTCCATCTGGTCTCTGTTAGAACTACCCAACTCTGTTGTAGTACAAAAGTAGCCACAGACAATATGTGAACAAATGGGTATAGTTGTTTGCCAATAAAAATTTATAAAAACAAGTGAGGGGCTAGATTTATTGACCTCTGACTTAGACAATACAGATTTTTATCTCACTTAACAAGAATACTAGAGGTAGATGATTGACATCCCTTTTATCTGGAAGGCAAAAGCTTTGCCTCAGAAGCCCCAGTAGACTTTCCATTATGTCTCATTGACCAGAACTGAGTCTCGTGACCACTCCTAGCTGCAAGGGAATCTGAGAATCAAGTATTTAGCAAAAAAGAACAAAATTCATGATCAGCTTAGAGTAAGCATGAGCTGGGCACTTTGTCATCAGACAAAATCAAGGTTCTCTTAGGAGAGGAGAGACTGTTGGACAACAATCCAGGTCTTCCATGGCTTTGTAATTAAAGTTGGAATAAAATTTTTTTTTAAAAAGACTTAATTTTCTAAACACCAAATTCAGCTGAAAAATTCTATGAAATAACTTAAGCTATTTCAAATTAGAATCAAAACTACAAATGTTCTAAAACAAAACCAAAATTATCAAAGTAATCTTTGCATCAGCATTTCATTCAACTTAAGTCGCTGGCGATCACACTAAATTCCATGGAGCACTGTGGTTTCAGGTAACCGAAGCTCCCTGAGACACTCTACTTTTAATATAGTTGTGATCACAAGATAATAGATACCAAGGTCCTCTGAAAAACATGAAGAACTAAACCAAATTCTAGGGTAAAGAAATGGGCCATCAGGTTCACCTTGAATATGAAACATCCTTAGGGAAATGGTAGGATGGTTTGCAGTCACTTGGAGAGATGCAGATAGATCTTGGCAGTGAATCCACCTACCCTTGCCCAGAATGCTAAATGCAGTAGTTAAATTTTATTATGGTCTTTTAATCTAGTCTGTACCAAATGAGTTTAAGCCGCTATAGAGAGTGCAATAAACATTCTTTTAAAGGATTCCTAGTAAGCTCTTATTTCCTTTGGAGTGTGGGTTTATTGATACGTACCCAAGAGCTACTCCTGCAAAAGGAAGAAATGTGGCTTGTGTGCCTTGCAAATACAAATGAGGCCTTGGACCCCAATATTTTCTAGACCCTTTAAACAATAGCTCACTGCCTTTATATTGAATAAGCCTTACCTGGTTTATAGCCAAGTCTTAACCTACATATTTGTGCACATCGTATGGAATATGGAATCGGTCCACATCTTATGGGGCATTATTAAACACCCTTCCAAGCTCTATCAACTCAGGTTATGTTGTTTAACTATTTCATATCCTAGTTTTGTGTAGGTTATATATATGCACAGATAAAAGAGTTAGTTTTTAGCTAAACCAGGAAATCAGAATTTGTTTTTGTATGTAAATCCCATGTCTTCTACTCTTTTCCTTATTGGTAGCAGTGCCTTTCTTCTCTTCTACCTCCTTTCTCTCCCCTTAAACGAAATAAATTAGTCAATCTCTACAGTCCTGCAAGACTCTGAGATGCTACCCATATGTAGCCATTCTCCCTCTAATTCTACTTTCTATGTCCTATCCTCCAAGAGTCTCTGCTTTGGCCACGATCCCAACCTGGGTTTTCTCTCTCTTTCCTTTCTCCTCCTCTCCATCACTCCCCTCCCTTCAGTGCAGTGACCATCCTTGAGCATAAATTTATACTAAGAGCCTGTAACCTCAAGCTTTGAGCTTCAGTTGTCTCAAACTTTAGTAGGGCCAAAAGAGAAAAGTGCAAGCCAAGCATTGCAAGCAGGACAAAGGAGAAAGAGGACTAGTGGGAAAGGAGCAAGTGGGGAAATCGCAGGGAAACTTAATGGGCACGTGGAGTGAAGATCCTGGAAAAAGGAAACCCCAGCTTTTGTGTAGCAAGATGTCTAACATGGGTCTTGGCACCAACGATGAGCCAACAAAAAGCCACAGGTGATCATGGGAGCAACCATCAGTCTTAAAAGTGAGTGATTAAAGATGCCAGAAAAATAAGAAAGTGCTGAAAAACAATTTTTTTGGGTTCAGTAAAAGCCATAAGGTGTTAATATACCCTTTCAAACAGACAGGTTTATGCCTAGTAACAGGTCTGTCAACAATTATGTATACAATTAAATGTAAGATCAACCATCGTCAGTTGATTTGATTACAATAATAAGCACTTTTTATTATTTTTTGCTTGTAAAACATGAGCTGCTTACAAAGTAATAGGAAAAAATAGGAGGGGAAGTTTTAAGAGGGAAAATGATTAGTAAATGTAATGATTCTCTGTCTTTTTAAAAATCTACCCTAAGTACATCCATGTAATTAAGAAAATGTATGGCTACTTGCTAATTGCATATTATGCAAATTTATGGAAATTAAAGATGAAATTGAAATTCTTCAAAGTGTGCTATTGGAGAGCAGAGTTCAAAATCTGCTTTGTGGTGTGAGGAAGGAAGAAAGACAAGATCTCTTCAGTTGAGAGACTTTATTTCTGGGTTCTTCAGGCCTTTTTGCTGAGTAGCTGCTTGAAAAAGATGATCTCAGAAAAGATGCTAAAGCTAGCTGAAGAGAATCCAGAAATGGTAAGTGCTCTTATCTGTGTATCTTTTTCACTTTAAGTTCCCACCATCAGCCAACATTAACCTACAGGGATGAATTCTGACCCTCTGGTGAAGAACCCAACCTCCCAGAAATGAGCTCCTCTGCCTTCTCTAATGAGCTGTCTTTAGAATTCAAGCCATTTTTCCAAGAGAAGTGTCCTGACATTGCTCTCTATCCTTGTATCTCTGCTTTCCCCCAGATGGAAGATTCCAGATTTTCCATAAAAACTACATCATAAAGTCAGGATCCTGAGAGGTCTTTAACACAGCAGCGATGAACTTAAATAAACTCTACAGTTTTGTCTCTAGAAAGAACTCAGAGTTTCTTGAAGCTTTGACTGTGCCAAATTAAAATGCCATTAGAAGTCGAAAGAAGCCATAGAGCAAAAGAAACTCTCAAGGCTATAAATTTTTCTCAGTGTAAAATTAAACTTTGCTTTTCTAGTCTGTGTCTCTTCAATAAAGGCCTAGTAACTCACTGAAAGGGTTGGCGGCAGGCTGTAAAAAGAGACACTGAGATTTTAAACTTTTTGACTTGCCTTGTCACCATCATGATACAAGCATATCCCAAATAAGACAGTACAATTAGAGTTTTAAAGATGATTACAAATACTAATGCCTAGTTGACATGTATAAACATTTTTTTTTTTTTTTGCAGAATGTTATACTGATCTTTAAAAATGCAAAAGAAAACACTTGGAAATGTTCCCTAATGTTTTCATTTAAATTGAGTCCTTTATAAGAGGATGGGTGACATCTTTCGTTGAACGTTGCTCTTTATTAGACTTTACAGCTTTTTTTCTGAGAAAATAGTTGCATTTTATCCTTATTTCTCTTTCTTCCAAAACTGAAAATATTTTCCTAGGGAAAATAAAATTTACTGCCCCTTGGTATTCAAACAATTCAAAATGTACTATAGAGTAGCAAATCAAAGCAATGAAAGAATCATGGATGCTTGTTTTTAAAGAGTCATAAAATCCAACCTCTCATGCAGGATGGACCCCCTTAGGCTCCAATTATTATATATATACAAAAAGAAGAAGAAAAAGTAGTTAACTGAAGTAGCCCCATTAAAAGGGAGAAGTACTCTCAAATGTGGCTGAATAAAATGTAAGCTACTTGATGCAGGAAATACTTGTACAATGAATAGCTAAAGAGTTTGCTAAATAATAGAAGGTAGTGACCTATTTAAAGTTTAAAAAAACAACAACCACACTAACTACAATCTTTAGATTTGCACACAAATTGAAACCTATCCTTTCCCGTGGCTGATAGTGAAATCAGCATATTAGTCAATATTGCATTACTCAATCCAAATACTCAAGTTTTATTTCCACAAGGTCCTTTTTTTACTTTCTTATTTTGGTTCTTGGAAAGGAAAGTTAAGACCCTTCCTCTGGAAAATTGGTTTTTTGGGGGCACCTGGGTGGCTCAGTCGGTTAAGTGTCTAACTCTTGATTTCAGCTCAGGTCATGATCTTGGGGTCCTAGGATTGAGCCCCGTGTTGCATCAGGCTCTGCACTCAGCAGTGGGAGGGGCTGCATCTGCTTGAGATTCTCTCCCTCTGACCCTCCCCTCGCTCACTCTCGCTCTCTCTCTCTAAAGTAAATAATAAAACATTTAAAATTTTTTTTTAAAAAAGAAAACTGGGTTTTCAAGGGGATGTGGTAGGGATAGTCCACATTTCAACCTGAAATTTCATCTACAAACCCCTGGGTAGAATGAGACCCTAGAAAGTGAAAAGAGCAAGCAGATCAGCTCTTTGAATGTATACTGAGTTCTGGGCTTCCTCACAAAGCACAGTTGACCAGAACAAGTCATTCTATGGAACTTAAAGTAGCCATATAAATGCATGACTGTGACATTCACTCATTTTCTAGGTAAACACATGAAGTCTGAACTGACACGTATCATTTATAAAAGGCTTGTATGGACTAGGATCCAGAGGTCTCTATTTTGCAAGGCAGACTAGATTCCAAGATTTTGATAATCATGAAGAATCTGGAAAGGGGCAGAAAAATTAAGGAAACTGTAACCAAATGAACCCCATAAAAAAGCAGATAGTCCTTAGAAGCAGATTAAATAGTATTATTTTATCCTAGTAAGAAGAAAGGCTTTGAAAGAAGAAATTTAGTGCTAACTTTAATTACAGCTAATTAACTTAGCTATAGGCAATGCTTTCAAAGGTGAGACTTGAACCATTTCTGAAGAGATCATTAAAATTTGAAGTCAAATAAATGCACTAAAAAAATGTAAACACACAACAAAATCATGTTACATTTTTTTTTTTAAGATTTATTTATTAGAGAGAGAAAAAGAGAGCATGGGCAGGGGGAGGGGGAGAGGGAGAGAGAAAGGGAGAAGCAGACTCTCCACTGAGTAGGGAGCCCGACACAGGGCTCCATCCCAGGTCCCTAGGATCATGACCTGAGCCAAAGGCAGACACTTAACCACTGAGCCACCCAGGGACCCCAGAATGTTATATTCTTAAAGGCCGTATAAATTGCAAACCAGAAGCAGAAAAAAATTGTAACATTCTTTTTAGAGCTATGCTCCTATGCAAAACCTTTAAGAAATAAATTTTGTTATTATTTGCTCCTTTTAACTAGAACAAAACTTTAAGAATTATGTGAAAATGAAGTGTATTTGTTAGTAGTAGGTTTGGCTATATATAATGAAGAACAAAACAAGACAGAAGTGTCCTAGGTAAAATAAAAGTTTGTGTCTTTCTCATCTAAAAGAAACCCAAAGGTAGGCAGTCTAGGGCTGGGATAGTGGCCCCATGATGTCACCAGAGACCTTTCTGCTCTGCCATCTTTTTTTTTTTTTTAAAGATTTTATTTATTTATTTGAGAGAGAGAATGAGATAGAGAGAGAGCATGAGAGGGGGAAGGGTCAGAGGGAGAAGCAGACTCCCTGCTGAGCAAGGAGCCCAATGCGGGACTCGATCCTGGGACTCCAGGATCATGACCTGAGCCGAAGGCAGTCGCTTAACCAACTGAGCCACCCAGGCGCCCCATGCTCTGCCATCTTTAGTGTGTGGCTTTTCACTCGTGTTGAAGATGGCTGCTGGAGCTCTAGTCATTACATCCACATCCTAGGCAGCAAGTATGATTGGAAGTGTGAATGGCTCATCTCTTTTCTTTAAGGAAGGGTCTCTGAAGTCCCACAGAATTTCAGCTTATGGCTCATTGGCCAAGAGTTAGTCACACCACAGGCCTTCACCTACCTGCAAGGGAGTCTGGCAAATGCAGTCTTTTTACAGGGTATGTTGTCTCTCCAAATAAATTTGGGTGGTATTACTAAGAAAGAAGGGCAGATGGATAATAGAGTAGGCTACCAGCAATCTCTGCTATTGAAAGAAATCTAAAAGACATCAAGAAAAGAAAGCAGATATATTTTATGCAATAGATGTGTTCTTAATGAGTTTCTGAAAGTGTATCATTATTATTATCTTGTATATTGAACCATAATCTGAATACATGAGAGGTATCAGGAATAAGATGGTGACTAATTTTCTGAATTGAAAAACATTTTATATTTTTAACAATCCGTACCTAGTTTGTTTTATTAGTTTGTGTATTTTTTTCCTTAGGTTTACCAAAAAGTGGTTCTGAATCTCTAAATTGGTTTTCTGGAAAATAGCAAAGAACCAAATGGCTTTCTGATTCTGGCTTGCCTCATACCTCTCACCCCCAATGCCAACTACCATCACCATATGTATTTTCCTCTCCACTCCTCTTTCATTCTGTGCAAGATCAGACAATGTAAAAGGCCACTGGGCTCAGAGATCATGCTTTGAAGTGTGTTTCTGTCACATGTGAGGAGGGGAAACAGCAAGGGCAATATTATCTGATGTCCCAGAAATGTCAGCCTTCGAATAGTTGGCGCTGTCTAGAAAACAAAAAAAGTACAGATATATTACAGCCCACTTGAGACTGGTCTGAGCATAGCAGGTGGACAGAATTTTAGAGAGCCAGGGGGAAATTACCATGTGAGCGTAAGTAGACTATTAAAAGAAACTACCTGTTGATGAAGAAGAGTGTATAGGAATACTGCATTATGAAAAAAGGATTTGCTCTCTTCCCCCCCCACCAACTTTATTCCCCCTGGTATATAAAATATTTAAAGCCCTTATTCGAGTAAGTCAAGGAAACAGATATCAGAAATTGCTTAACATTCATAGTAGGTTCTGTTTTATTTATTTCAACATAGAGAGGGGAGGAAGATGAAGGAGAATAGGAGAGAGAAAGATTCTGAGCTATTTTCGCCAACTTCTGTATTTCATTGCACAAGGCTACTTACAAGCTATAATGTAATATTGTAAGCAATAACAATAATACTATAGCAAAACACGTAAGACAACAGAGCATTAATTTCTCATTTACCAAGACTTAATACTGATTTTTTAAAAAAGATTTTATTTATTTATTTATTTGAGAGAGAGAGCGCGCGTGAGTGGGGAATGGGGCAGAGGGGGAGGGAGAGGGAAAGGGAGAGAATCTCAAGCAGCCTCTGCACTAAGCATGGAGCTGATGTGGGGCCCCATCTCAGGACCCTGAGATCATGACCTGAGCTGAAACCAAGAGTCAGATGCTTAACAGACTGAGCCACCCAGGCATCCCTAATAACTGATTTTTTTTTAAATTATTAAGCTAGGCTTCAAATATATGAACATTTCTATTAATACCAACCTAAAGGAAGTCCTTTGCATCCTTCCAAGCAATCTATTTTATTACAATATTAACTGTAGTTAAAAGACAAGGCTCTTTTGCAGTGTCATGTTATTTATCCCACTTATTTTGAAACGTTCCTCCTTATATTCTCATGAAAAATATGCAGTAATAAACAATTTAATTCATCCACACCTCATTCTTGCATTTACAAATGCCTCTATTTACCATGCAGTGGTTGGAAACTCAAGGATCCAGAGTCAAGGAGTTTATTTGTTGGAGGAGAAAGGCAATAGAGTGATACGTTGAGACCCGCACATAACACTAGTTGCTTAAGAAGAGTGTTCTTTTCCTCGAAGAAGAGTCTAAGAGCTGTTTCTCCCGAGCCCTGCCTAGGTCCTGTTTCTTGGCTGTGCCAGACAACTGCTAGCCTTTCCCGGTTCCCTGTCCACTCTCCCCCACCCCCGCTCTGCGCGCCAGAGACTCCTCTTGCTCTCGGGTCTCCCACCGGGGTCACCCATGGGAAAACCCAGCGAGAATGGATGGAGCGTGGAAGAAAAGTGAGATTGCGCGATTTCTCCAATTCTGTTCCTGCTGGCACGGCCTTCTGCGGAGGGCCAAGCTCCTGGAGGTGGCCTCTCCTCCCCACCGCTCTCGCTCCTCTCATTCCAGTGAGAGCTATCCGTGCGCCTTCAGGCCCAGGAGCCCCTCACGGCTAGCCCCTGGGGGCTCCAGCATCCCTTCACTGACTCACTTTAATCCTGGCCACACCTCCATTAAATAGCTCCTTTTTTAAAAGGCTCCTCAGCAGTGTGTCATCTGTTTTCTGCCGGGACCCTGACTGTTCTATTAAGCTTACCTTGTGTACATGAGGTATATTCAAGTGTCTTGAACTTCTGCTTGATCTTCACTTGATTCATGGTGCCTTTTGATTAATCCAAGCCCCATTTGGCTTTGATTCAGCGTATGCATTGGGGCTCTGTGGATTATTTCAGGATTTAGGAGTTCATTTCGTGTGAAGTCCTTCTAGAAGCTCTGTTAAATCACAAAATCTATAGGCAACCACCAGTGGTTAAACATGAAGCTTCACTTCACTTTTAGGGGCTCGATTTCTGCAACGTTCCTACATTTGCAAATGAAGGGGGGGAAGGTGCGGATGGGAGGCAGGTGTGCCCGCTGACTGGCAGCCTTTGAGACCTAAAAGGATTATTGTGGAAGGGGAAATGTGCTAGTTAAATAGATTATTTGTGTGTTTGCTTCCCCAGGCTGTGCTGACTGACATTTTACTAATCTATTTAGCAGATTGAAGTTCCAGAACAAGGCAAAAGTAAAAAATACCACATTCAACAAAGCCAGGTCTGTGAGTAAAATTATGTAATTGATACATTATAATTTTGATAAATCTGTCCTTTTCCCCCTTTAAGTAACCAAAGTCATTCTACTTTTAAGAATAAGCCAGAATTTTCGTACTCAGAAGCTCCTCCATGTAGGATTGGGCCAATTGGAGGACCATCACAGAAGTATAGTATTTTTACTGTAATACCCAGGAGGGCCAGGAGACATGCTCTCCTGAATTTTTACATAGAAAATTTCTAAGAAGAACATAAAATTCTTTAGTGATTTTCTTCTACACTCCATGCATTTTTTTTTAATCCTCTTTCTGGTTTACATTTCGTTTCATTAATTCTCTGCAGTGTACTCTGTAGAAAACAACCTTTAAGTTTATTAAATACTGTTTGGAGCATTTAGGTTTGTTGGGCAGATTACAATAACAGTAAATATCATTCTAGAAAGCATTAGTAGGCACTTATTGCTAGGCACTGTTGTAAGCACTTTTATGTGGATTACCACGTCATTCCCACCAAAGTCCTATAAATCACGGGAGGAAACAGGCGCGGAGAGGTTAGGTGACTTGCCCAGGTTGCACAGTAATCAATGGGGGAAGAAGCAGACAGTCTGACTCCAGAGCCGTGCCCTTAACTAACTCTTCCTTCCTATGTTCAAATCCTAGTGTATGTAAGTGAAATAAAGATGACCTCCAAGTAGCATTTGAATGGAATTTATTATCAGTCCACTCCTGTTACACAGTCTGCTGTGTATATAAAGGTACAAAGTATATAAGGACAGTACTTATGAAAATATAAGGGCCTCTCTTGAGTGACTAAGCTCAGTAAAAAAAATTTAAAAACAGACTAAATGCAAAGCTTACTCTGTTTCATAATACCAGCATTTCTGGCTGCTTAGATCAGAGACAGGAGATAAGAACTCCACCACAGACTGGTGATGTGTCCTCAGGCAGATCAAAAAACTAAATGTTTAAGGGACTCTTGAGGTGCTTATTAAAATGTAAATTCCTGGGCCCCACTCCAAAAGATTGATTTAGCAAATCAGCATTTATAGCAAGAACCCCAATGGGGAACACTGCACCAAGCTTCAATTTCTTTACCTGTAAAGTGTAGGTAGTAATCACTCCATCACTCAAATTCATCAGCAGCATAGTGATCAGCACAAAGGTTCTCAACCTTGGCTGCATGTTGGAATCACCTGAGGAGCTCTAAAAACAAATCATGGCTGGGCCCCACCCTCAAAGACTCTGACTTAATTGGTCTAGGGGCCTGGCAACAGAATTTTTAAAAGCTCCTCAGGTGGCCTAATGTACAGCCAGGATTGGAACTATTATCCTAGAACAGTGGTTCTCAAGGTGTCATCCCTAGAGCAACGCCATCAGCATACCTTGGGAACTTATTAGAAATTTAAGTTCTCAGGCCCCAGACCTACTTCATCAGAAACCCGAGGGATGGGGGCTAGTAATCTGTGTTTAGCAAGTCCTCCAGATGAGTCTGATGCATGTCCAATTCTGACAGCCACTGTTCTGGAACAATAGATAACACATAGCACAACTATGATCAACATTGAAACTAATTCAGATGGCCTCCCAGATGAGCAGCAATGCTAAAATAGGCCAACTCCCTCATGCTCTAAGCAGGGCCAGCATGTCAGAAGTCGTCCAAGTATATTGAATTCCAACTTATTTAGCAAACCTTTATAGAGAGCTTATCCTGAGCCAAGCACTGTTATAATTGCATTCCACATATAACTCATTTAATCCCCATAACAACCCAGCTATTATTATTATCCTTGGTTTATAGCCAAAGGAACTGAAAACACAGAAAGGTTAAGTAACTTGCTCAAGGTCACACAGCAAGTAAATGACAGAGCCCCTATTGGAACTGAAGCAGTCTTTATCTGTTGTTTAACCAATAAAGTTTGTTTGTTCCTTTAACCACTTTGCCATGGGGCCTCTCTATCAAGACAAATCCCTCATAGAAAAAAATTTTTTTAGCTTATCTGCCCATTGAGGCACATTTATTTCATCAGGGACAAAGGCATGGCCTTGTCTTTGAGATTTCATAAATACTGAAGGCCAAGTATTCACTTACTGAGGGTTTATAGCAACCATAACCTCTTAAAATGTTTTAAAATACAAAACTTGTTAAAAATTTGTATTTGTGTTGGGTGTGCACTAAAGATTTGGGGTAGAGTTAAAAATGGGAATTTGCATAGCTTTAAGAGATGGGGGAAAAGGATGAGAGGCAGCATCCAAATGTCACCTGGGGACATTCCAGTGCCTGGAAAGGCCCTCTGAACAGGTCTACTTGTTCAGCATACCAGCAGGAGGCGCTCTCAGCCCTAACACAGACACCTACCCCAAAATAAAGCTTCTATGGGGGAAAAAAACACTTGAAATAACCATCTTTTAAATAAATGTAACCTTTCTGTTGCCTTTTTAATATTATTTTAACATTCCCGACTTTGTAATTATTATTGTTGTTATGGAAATTATTTCCTCTCACATACATTTCTGACCTCTCTGTTTATTTCACAACAGAAAGACTCTTTTCGTTTTCTACCAAGAAAAAGCAAGATCGAGATGGCCAAAGCTGAATGTGTTTTGGGGATCATAAAGGAAGAAGAACTTTGATAGAAACTCACGTTTTTAAATGTCCTCTAGGGCTGTCTCAACAGTGAAAGAGCTTGGGGACTGAAAGTGGGCTGCTCACCAGCAGTGGAAGAAATGTGACCCCTTCCCATTTTCTCTTGACGTTAAGATGGACCGTATTCACCAAGGGTACTTCAGAACTCTGTGAATCTTAAGATTAAAAAGAAATATGAACCAAAGTTATACAGTTTGCTTTTAATGACTCATAAATGAGAAGTGGCAAATCCAAATCAATTAGTATGAAGTTCTTTTTTTTTTTTTTTTTTCACTCTAATAGATGTTTACCTGGCTTGATGAAGTCTTCTATATGTTCTAATACTACATGAATGAAAGGCTCAGCCTAAAACACTATAAATGTACTTGGGGTCAATTCTGAAGACATGACTCATCACCTGCGGAGAATTTGGCTCTAAGAAATGGAATCATTGAAAAAGAAATCTGGACTTCACTGATCCATCCACAGCACCAAGCAAGGAGGTGATGAAATACTAATTTCTTTCCTTACGTCATTCTGAGCCTACCAGTAGGGATAGACTCAAAGTAACAGGCTGCTCTGTGTTCTGTTTCTCCACTGATGTAATTGTATTTTATCTTTAGAATGTGAAATTCAATTCACTAATCACATGCTATTTTGAATATTTTTATTTTGGAAAGCAATGGGGCCCTGCACTCAAAATCAGATACTATAATAAGTCTCTTAGCTTTAAAACCATGGATATTTTTTTCACTAGATTTTTCCTTATTTAGTTTCAGTTTATCATGATAATAAATGTAATTATATATGGAATTAAGACTGCAATAAGGGAGAGGGACAGAGGAATCTATGTAATGTAATTAAAGTGCCTAATGTTCTTTTCTCACTGGATTGTGTAACTAATTATGTAATAAATATGAAATATATTCTAGTGAATATAAAATTTACTGATGAAAATTCTGAGAATGATCTTTCTGAAGTATAGAATCTATTAAAACCCTGTAAGGTTTATAAAGCAGTGCCTCCAGCCATAACTCTAGTGCCATAAAGTTTTATATTTATATTTTAGGCAGTAGTAGGATGTTTTTGCAAGGGGAGGGGTATAGTAAACATCCCAAATCATCCATGGTGATGGTATTAATCGATTGGGATACATTTTCAGATTAAAATAGAAGTTTATCTACTATTTTGCCAATTTAAGAATAGTCCATCGATTTCTTTTTAATTGCAAACACCTGCACACTGTGTAAGGGCCTATTGGAGACACTAGGAATACAAACAGAACTTGTATTTGGGGGTGAGAAGGTGCATATACTAGATCGAACCATACCTGATTGCTGTTTTGCAGGTCAAAAGTAGTTGAATGTTGTCCATTCCATATGTTTCAACTTGACATCTGAGAGCTAGTAATCCTAGACAACACATGGTGGGTGCCCAATGTATAGTGTGGACCTGTGTGTCAGAGGGAGTTGGGAGTGGTCAGGAAGGCCCACGGGGAAGAGAGACTTTGAAGAAGGAGAGCCAAGTGGGGGAGCGATGGGGGCACACATGTGAAAGGATAAGATAGGCCCTAATGGGACAATGAGTGGGAAATGATGAGCAAACCGCTGTGTGCTGGCAAAGTTTTAGGTTAGGGAGTAGTTAGGAGATAAAGCTAAGAGAGAAGAGGGATCAGTACCTATGCATACACAAATGGAGTGAATCTATAGACTAAAGCATATGCTGGTAATTTCCAAAACCATGTCACACCACTTAGAAGTTACCTCAAGGTTTTTTTTTTTAAGATTTTATTTATTTGACAGAGAGAGAGAGCAAGGGAGAGAGCACAAGCAGGGGGAGTGGGAGGGGGAGAAGTAGACTTCCCACTGAGCAGGGAGCCCGACATAGGGCTTGATCCCTGGACCCCGAGATCATGACCTGAGCCAAAGGCAGATGCTTAACGACTGAGCCACCCAGGTGGCCCACAAATGCAGCATTCCTATAAAATGAGCAGAGCACTTTATCCCTTATTTGAAGATGGCAAAAACAAAAGGATTGTATTTAACAGTTTTTTTCCCAAGACATAGAGATTATCATCAATATAAGGATACGAGAGGAAAGAAGTGATGGAGCACATTCACAGTATATACCATGAAGAAGAAAGGAACTGGGATAGTGGAAGACAAAACTCAAAACTTACTTTGTAAAATGGCACATTCCTTAGCAGTTATGTGGGAGAAGAAAGAACAATTAGCCCCTTTGGAGATTATTGGGCCTACATTTATGTAGAAGGAGTTGTGGGTTTGAATTACTTCTGGATCAAAACACTTCATCATTGGGTAAAAAGTCTAAACTCTGACTGCCAGAGTGGCCTTCCCTGCTGCAGGCTCCAAGAGAGGCCAGAAGTAGGCCCCCATCTGTCCTGGGGGTAATGACCTCACTCTTGAGTGGTGCTGCTGGGCAGGACATTTCCAGCAGCCTAGCCCCTCAGCACAGGACAAGACACGAGCCAGTGCGTCAACTTTGTAAAGGCGGGCAGCTACTGAAACCCTTCAGGTAGGGTGCCTGGGTGGCTCAGTTGGTTAAGCGACTGCCTTCGGCTCAGGTCGTGATCCTGGAGTCCCGGGATCGAGTCCCACATCGGGCTCCCTGCTCAGCACGGAGTCTGCTTCTCCCTCTGACCCTCATCCCTCTCATGCTCTCTTTCTCTCTCTCACAAATAAAATCTTAAAAAAAAAAAAAATTAAAAAAGAAACCCTTCAGGTAACTTCTAAGTGGTGCGACATGGTTTTGGAAATTACCAGCATATGCTGTAGTCTGTAGATCCGCTCCATTTATACCTATAAAACTGGTCCCCAGTCAGCCAAATTTTCTCCTGATGCCTCTGCCATCACCAACATCACTGCTCCCCACTTCTACGCATATGTATGTGTTTCTATTGCTGTTCATTCTTCTAAAATTACTGGCATAAGCACCTGGCTCACGGGCCAGCCCACTAGTGTGAAAAGTTGACAAACTAGAAGAAAAAAAGGCAGAGCTGACTCAAATGTGATTAGGCCCACAGGGTCTGAGCCCTTATCGGTCCTCTGGAGGGAATCACGTGCAGGCTTTGTCTGAAGGGCTCATGTGCGCCCCAAAGCCAGGTCTTGGTCTAGGTCCGTATGTGGTGAGCTTGTGGCTTGCATGCATCCCCATGTGGGTGGACCCTTGGGAAGCAAACTTCATGCTACATATGTAAGTGAGAAATTAACCTTAAGTTTGCCCTCAAAGTGACTTTGAGAAGAGCTGAGTGATCCTACTTTGTGGAAAATCAAACAGGTTCCAAGCCTCAGTGGGAAAAGAATGGCCAAAGTGATCCTACAGTACAAAACAAAAGAAAACTCAGCAACGGAGGCAACTCTCCTTCTCCGGGTGCTTTTTAGTCCTCCCCTTGCAGTGTGTGGACCAAGGCTTACTGGGAGGACTGAGGCCAGGGGCCCATGTAGACTGCACTAAGGGAGATGGAGTGCAAGGTACTTCTTTCCTTCATTAGGGTGGTCTCAATCCTGTCCTTGGAGATCTCAGAAAAATAGTCAAGAAAAAGTTAGACATATTTTGCTGGCTCTTGTCACCCCAAAATAAAGCACGTTGAGTTAACTTAGAAAATGTATGGCTGGGGCACCTGGGTGGCTCAGTAGGTTGGGCGGCTGACTCTTGATTTCAGCTCAGGTCATCATCTCAGGGTCCTGGAATCAAGCCCCTCATTGGGCTCCATGCTTAGTGGGGAGTCAGCTTCAGGATTCTCTTTCCCTCTGCCCCCCCCCTCTAAAATAAAGTCTTAAAAAAAAAAAAAGGAAGAAAGAAAATGTATACCTAACACCAATACTCTCTTAGAAGATGGCCTTTTAGGGATGCCTGGGTGGCTCAGTCAGTTAAGCGTCTGCCTTCAGCTCAGGTCATGATCCCAGGGTCCCGCGATCGAGCCCCGCATCGGGCTCCTTGCTCAGTGGGGCACATGCTTCTCCCTCCGCCTGCAGCTCCCTCTGCTTGTGCTCTGTCTCTCTCTCTCAAATAAATAAATAAAATCTTTTAAAAAAAAATGGCTTCTCAGCCTTACCATTGTACTCCCCCCCCCACACTTTATTGACATATAATTGTACTTTGCTTATACGTTACTTTATAATAGCTATTTGTTGTATTCTTAGGAGTCATGTGTTGAACAGTTTTCCAGATAAGAAAAATTAGATAGAGCTATGGAAAAAGTCCATGGTGGGCTTGGCTCTTTGGTCTAGCCCTGTAGCTGGTGTACTTTTCTGTAAGGCACAGTCTTTAGCTCACCAAATGGGCTTTGGTTGTGTAACATCTTGGAAGAGGTTAGACAGTTGATTTAAAGGCACTGACCCTGGTGATTTTGCACTGCTCCTGCACTGAATGTGGTTTCTGTCCCGGAAATGTGGGAACACAGAGTTGGCTGTACTTCCTAATGGCTTTTCCATCTGTCCACATGAGCCCTTATTTGATGGGTTCTGCGGTGCAGCCGTTGTCTGGGATGGAGGCGCCTGGAGCGCCAGGCTGAAGCTGGGAGTGTGAGCTGGCTTCTCTGTGCGCATGCGTGCTCTCATTCGCACTGAAAACTCCTCTCCACACAATGTCTGGGGAGGTCCCCCTCTTTGTATCGCATCTAGTGTGCAGAGGAAGAGGGGATGGAAATCTACTGCATCTGGGTCCCCATCAAGGGAAGTTAGAATTTGATTTTCTGCAAAATGCTAAGTAGAACAAGTGAAATGGCAGTTATGAAACATATGTGGCAAAGTCAACCAGTTGGAGACGGGTTCTATTCAGATCTCAACTGTAGCGATTTTGCTACAGTTGCTGGTTTTGCTACAGCAATAGCTGGTGGTACGTGATGCCCAGAGGCTCCATGCCAGCAAGTGCACCTATTTATGTGCAAAGGGAAAGCGGTTCCATGCCCCAGGACTTGTATGGCACTGTGTTAAGGGAGAAAATAGGAAGACTGTATATCAGAGGGGTTTTTTTTCATGTATTGACTGAATACATATCATAGCGGTTAAATTGAAGATTTCTTATAGGTAACTGGGTTTATCTCAATTACGTTTGTCGGTATTAGTTTCTCTTTTGCAATTAACTGTGGGTCGTTTGTGTCAAGATGTCTTTTTTCCTTGTTTTTCTTCTCTTGTATCCTTTTTTCCTTTCCATTTGTCAAAATTAAAACAGAAGTGACATGTGGGCTAGGGGTGATAATGAAGATGGGCTGAGATCTTAGTGAATTCTCTGTAGAAAAAAAAAATCCTAAAACCTTCTGTTTAAGTGCGGTAAGGACTTGTTACCTGGGACTTGTTAAAAAATCCCACTGGATGATATGACAAAAACAAACACAAAAGGCAACTAACTCCATTTTTTTAAATTTTTTTTAATTTTAATTTTTAATTTTAAAATTGTATTTCTTTATTTGACAGAGAGACAGCGAGAGAGTGAACACAAGTGGGGGGAGTGGGAGAGGGAGAATCAGGCTTCCCGCTGAGCAGGGAGCCCGATGTAGGGCTCGATCCCAGGACCCTGGGATCATGACCTGAGCCAAAGGCAGACTTTTAACGACTGAGCCACCCAGGCACCCCCATTTATTTTTTTAATGTACCTCGTGAGCTTAGAAGATAGACACACATAAAATACATTTTTGAGGTTTATAAAAAATAAAAATCATTTGTAAGTCTTTTCTGATTCTGTTTGCCTTAAAACAAATGCATAGGCTAAGAGCAATTCACATTACTTATCCAACCCCCCCCCCTCTTATTCCCCTATAAAAATGTCACAAGTTTGCTTTCTTGTTGGTCAGGAGTTTAAGTTCAAAAGATGTATTAGTCCAGTTGTATTGGCAGAAAATAT